CTTGGGGAGAATTCCAAGTTTTCTGTGTAAAAATGGAGTTCAGAGTTACCAAGGAAGTTCAGTAGGATGGGTGGTTTACATAATACGCAAACTTGCCAATTCAGGTTTATCTAATGAAGACAATTAAATCATTTGGACTCAATCACAGTTACCAAATAAAAATATTAGAATCTTTTTTCAAAATCACCATTAACGGGCTTCCCCGGTGGCGCAGCGGTTGAGCGCTGGGTTGCGAGGCTGCCCGCGGCCTCTGCCGCGACGGTTCGATCCCCGGCTGCTCCCCGGCCACCGGAGGAGGGTCCCACATGGCGTGCAGAGCTTTCCTGACGCCCTCTGCTCCCCTCAGCAGTGTACTTCGGTCCTTCTGCCTGCTCTGCTCCCTGCTCTGGTGAATTCTCTCACCCTCCCATGCTTCTGACTGTACCCAGTGCATGTATAAACGAACAAACAAACAAATAAATAAATAAATAAAACATGCCTCTATTAAAAAAAAAAAATCACCATTAACGTTGTAAAATAACATTCTGGCATGCATATACTGACAAGAACTTTTCAGATAACTTCATGACCTCAGGATACCATTGATCTGTAGGGTGATGAGCTTACTGATAAGCCAGAGGTTCTGCTCTATTCCATTCTATTTTTCCTAGAAAAAAATAGTTGCTCAAAATAAGATATAGATTTTACTTTTGTTTAGTATTATTTTCAAAACATCATAAACTCAGTGATACAGAAAGAAAAACTCAATGCTACAGCTATATTTACCAAAGTTATTTTTAAGTATATAGTTTATTAGGAAATGACATCTCCAGTTGAACTGTTTTAAACATTTAACAGTTCAGTTCTTTATAAATGCAAACCTCCTTTTACAAATAGATACATTATCTTGTTGCGTTGGATACAACACCCCAGTGACTATCTGCAGACACTCAGGAAAGCAAAGCCAGGTCTTCAGGTGTGCTTCTTTGATCAAGGCAGGGGCCCATTCCAGGCAAGGAGGTAAAAGGTTCTAAACAGTAGCCTCCTGCCTTCAAGGACCTTGTGCGTAGAGATAAGATGAGTATAAAAATAGCCCCAAAGCAGAACATTCTAGATCAGGCAGCTTAAGAGACAGCTGAGTGTCTTAGGTTTAAGTGAAGCTGAGCAGGAATCTATCTGGCTGGTTGACCCTGAATTGCCTTTGGTACCTCATCCGGCCCACTTTCTTGTAACCCAGGACCAGTTTTTATTGGACTTATCATCGGATCTTTCAGCAGGACCAAATGCCATTGAAGTTATTTAAAATCGGTTTCATGGGTGGTATGTAACCTTTCATCTTTTAGTTCTTTTTTAGAGTTCTCAACAAAAGCTGTTTAGTGAGTTAAGAAATTCCTTTTACATTTGCAGATCCCCAAACCATAACTCTCCATTTTTATCCGCCCTCTAGCGGGTTAGTCTATATTAGGAAGTGGCGCTCTGCGGAGGGAGCACGAATAGTCGGTTCCTTTTTCGTCTTTGTGACGCAGCCGCTTCCCCCGCAGCACGAATCCGGGACACTTTCTGTGGGGAAGGACTGAGGTGGGGCGTGCAGGCTGGCCTGGAGAGGTCCGCCCTTGCCTGGCGCGCCACTCTGACACCCGGGACCCGAGATTCCCTTGTGCGCTCACCTGCACAGGGCATCCCGAGCAGTGTGGCCTGGTAGAACTTTCCTGCTGACGGAGACACTCAGTGCGAGGGTGAGGCTGGTGGACCGTGAACGCTCGAATGTGGCCCTCTGACGGGGGAGCTGAATATTTCATCTCACTTCATTTGAGTTAATTTCAGTCTTTAAAACCTCTGTACTGACAGCACAGTCCTAGGCCAGCGGTCAAGTGAACTGAGTGGTCGTTGCTCTGCATGTGGACCCCAAAGACCAGGCCTGTGAGTCCTACCAACGCCCCTGGCTGACCCCAAAATGGTACCTTGGGGGGGTGCCTTAGCACAGCCACCATTAGCCTAGAGTGTCACCTGCCCACCCGCCCTTGTCAGCTCCTCAGCACTTTGGGGTTCCCAGGGGAAGCCTGCAGGGAAACACATGGGTTCTGAGGTGCTTGCTGTGCAGAGGACCCTGGAAAAGTTCACTCCAAGTGGCACCTGGAAGCCACATGGCAAAGGCAGCCAGAGTCAGGGCTCAGCTCCCTTGTGAACGAACAAGCCCACGGTGGGGGCACTCGGAGGTGTCTGGGCCCCCGTCTCAGCCCCCCCCGCCCCCCCTCCTACCTTCTCCTACCCTCAACTGCCCAGTTTCAGCGAGCATTGATCCTATCTCCATCTGTTGATTTTTCTGTTGGGAATGATTTACCAAAGGGAGAAAGCCTTTGTATTGGGTGACGCATGTGGGGACGTTGTTGAAAAACAGGCTGGAAGCTGTTTGAAGGGTTGGCAGCCGAGAGGTAAAGGCTAGTTTGGGCGGGATGCTCAGCCCGCCTCCCAAGAGTTAACCGCCCCCCAGTGGGTGACGTCAGGCCTGCTCTTTACACCTCTCCTTGAGCGACCCGCTGCCGCCTCCTCGCGGGGCCGTCCCCATTGGCTGTTGGCGGCACTGCCAGTGGGCGGACTTTGTCAATGAAGTAAAAGGGCAGGGCCTGAGCAGCCGTGACAGCCGCGGCCCACAGATCTTGCTGGAGTTGGCGGAGGGCAGTGCTCCCCATCCAGCGGCGCCACCAGCATGCTCTGCCTCTGCCTATACGTGCCCCTCATCGGGGAGGCCCAGACCGAGTTCCAATATTTCGAGTCCAGGGGGCTTCCCGCCGAGCTGAAGTCCATCTTCAAACTCAGCGTGCTCATCCCTTCCCAGGAGTTCTCCACCTACCGCCAGTGGAAGCAGGTCTGTGCGCAGGGCAGGCATCCGGGCAATGTCCCCCCTGGGGGACGGAGGAATGCCTGAAATGTGGGTATTTCCCGGCATGTGGCTGTAGCCGGGAGAGGCCCACGTCATGGGAATGACTGGCTTTCACGTGACTTCCAGGGAAGTCTAGAATTCCTCGGAAAGCACTTGTGGGAGCTGGAGTCCTCTTGCTGTAGGGGGGAACGGGGTGGGGGGTGGGAGGGATGGGGTGGTGGCAGGGTCCTGAGAAATACCTGGCAGGGAAGGGGGTGTGGGCTATGATAAGGGGAGATTGTACAGCTGGCAGAGGGCTGTTTCCTGAGCTGGGAGTGGAGGCCACTGGGAGGGCAGGCAGAGGGGGGTCCTTACTGAGCTGTCCCTTTGGAGCAGGGAGGCGGCAGAAACTCATTGTTTCAAAGAGGGAGAGCACATTTAGAGTTCAGAGGTCCCTAGGGATACCCCAACTTCTGTTAACTGGAGCCTGTGTTGTCCCCAGCTCCTGGTGCTGTGAAGGGGTGGTGAGTTCTGAGATAGAAGCAGAAATGTTGAGAATATTTTGCAATCTGCTGCACTGGGCATGTTCTGGGGTGTTTGTGTCACAGGGCACCCAGCCTAATAAGGCACACGGATGGCACTGGTGGTAGAGCAGCCCAGATACCAAACCTTTACCAACTCCCTACATGGCTTGTGGGTCCTGCTTCTGCTCCTGCCCTAAGTCTAGGGCAATCGCGCACTCACACGTAGTCTGTATCGTTCTGATGTCTGCAGGACACTCACAGAACCCCAGACAGCAGATAGCACAGGGCTTGCACCTGTCTCCTTGTTGCCATGACTGTTCTCTGGATCACGTTAGCTGGCACAATACCTGTCCACCCTCGATCACTGGGCAGTAATCACAAAAAGCCTTCGGGCAGCTCAGGGAGAGATTGAGGTGGTCATCCCTGGAGAGAGCCAGCCAGCCAGTGGTCCGTCCAGACCCGTGGCTCCCAAGACTGAATCCATCTTGGTTTGTGGATAGTGACTGTAGCTCTCGCTGAGAGATTTAGAATTGGGCAACATTTTCCTTAGGAGGTTCTCAGTCCTAGGTTTGGGGTGTTGCTGGGTTGGAGTGACTCATTTGTGTCCCCCACCTCGAGATTAGCCCTTAGGGTGACAGCAGCAGTATCTCTAGGGAGGTGGCTCTGGAGTCCAGCCAGTCTAGTTTGAATCCTACCCACCACTTCCTGAGCTGTGTGACCTGGAATAAATTGTTCAACCTCTCTGAGCTTGTTCCTTTTGCCGTAAACTGGGGAAAATAACAGTACCTGCCTCCTAGAGCCATTGTAGAGGATTCAGCAGGTTGCTGGAGCCCAAGCCTTTAGTTCTTTTGTGGGGAACCCCCACAGTTGTTGAGCATCTAAAACCAATCACAGGTGCTGAACAGAGCTCACCTGGAAGGGCAGGTGAGCAATTCGGAAGCTTAGGGCCCAGGAACAGGGTCTCTTAAAAGCCTTCTTGGGCCACTAAATTAGTAGATCTGCCCTGCCTTTGGGTGCCTGGCTGAGCTCTGGGGTGTTTCTATCAACCGACTCCCCTGAGAGCACACTGGCACTGCCACCAAGCTCCTGTCCAAGAATAGTTCCCCTGGGCTCTCACCCTTCTCCAGCACCCAGGCTTCCCTCTGACAGTGTTTCTGCCAAGCAGGCATTGGCAGGGCCTGGCTGTGCCCCGAACCCTCGCTCTGGCCACCAGATTGTCCTTGGGCCGCTGCCACTTGGAGGAATGAAAAGTCGAGCTGCAAAGCTCCTGGTGGATCTGGAGCTCCCGCCATTCCCACAGTTGGGCAGGGAGTGTGCAAGGCTGAGGCCCGGCACCAGGAACTGCGCCTCAGGGGAGCTGGTCCAGCCTGCCACTGTGGCCTCCACCATGAGACCTCCTCTGGGGGCTCCTTTTTTCTGTTCCTGAGGGCAGCAAGGTGTGGACATTTTGGAGTTCTGGCCAGTCCTCAGGGGATTGAGGGTAAATTATCATTATAGCTTTGGGATTAGAGCCACAGAAATGTCTTGGGCCACGTCTGTTCACAGATTAGCAGTGTCCTGTGGACCGAGCGCCGTGAGGATCGAGGTGAGGCTGGTGTGTGAGCTGAAGTAAGCAAAACCTCATTTTTGTTTTCCAGAAAATTGTACAAGCTGGCGATAAGGACCTGGATGGGCAGCTCGACTTTGAGGAGTTTGTGCATTATCTCCAGGATCACGAGAAGAAACTGAGGCTGGTGTTTAAGAGTTTGGACAAGAAGAATGATGGTGCGTGTCCTCTCCAGGGTAGGGCAGGTGGGTCCTGGGCCTCTCGGAGCCTGGCTCACGGCCTCTGTCCTTGCCCCTTAGGACGAATCGATGCTCAGGAGATTATGCAGTCCCTGCGGGACCTGGGGGTCAAGATTTCAGAACAGCAGGCAGAAAAAATCCTCAAGAGGTAAGCGCTGAGCAGCCGCTGTGCTTGACTCAACAAAAGCGGACGAAGCAAGGTCTGGGGCTGACCCCGTGGCGCCACGTGCTGTCCTGACCCCTTTCTCAGAGCTTTGGCTTCTGGTGGTGGTAAAGGGGTGAATCAGTAACCCCTGTTCCCAGACGCCAGGTCAGCTCTCCCTTGAGAACCCACAGAGTCCTGCCCCTTCCCCAGTGATCCTTGAAGGGAGAGAGCATTTGGGGGGATTCCAAGTCAGTGAAAGGCGAGCAAGGGACACCCTCGTGTGGCTGGTTGTGAAGGGGCGGGGTCTTGCAGGGTGTCCCCATTGAGGTGGGCTCTTCCCGAGATCGGTAGCTTTCTCTTCACACCACAGTTAGCTGCGCAGCCCCAGAGGCCCGCTCTCCGGAGAAAGGGGCTGTGACTGGGTAAAGCGGTCCCACCCAATGGCCCTGGGAGCAACTTCCTCTCCTGGCCAAGCCTTTCCACATTTCAACTCTGGGCCTGAGGCGGCTGCCCTCAGAACGCAGCCTCCGTCCTCGCACCCCTGCGCTGTGCTGTGCCTGCTGTGTTGTACCCACTGTGCACTTGCCATGCTAACGCCCACTCCGAGCACTTACTTGTGTTGTTTCTCCTCTCTCCTCTGCATCCTCCTTTGTCTGTCTGTCAGAATACGAACGGGCCACTTCTGGGGCCCTGTCACCTAGTAAGTATCCCTGTCGCCCTGGTGACTGCCTCTCTCCCTGACTGTGCCTGATCAGGACACGTTTCTTGCGGGCCATTATATTCTAGTTTGTGTGCAAAGCAGGGTGGGGAGCCCGCCTACCTCCCTCCTGGGGGACAGAGGCACTTACTGTGGGTCCTCTGTGGCCACAGTGCCTGCCCTTGGCTGCCCGAGGTGGGACATGCGGCTGACAGACGGGGGCTATGGGCACGTGGGTCAACCTGGGCACCTTTGCCTTCACAGCATGGATAAGAACGGCACGATGACCATCGACTGGACCGAGTGGCGAGACTACCACCTCCTGCACCCCGTGGAGAACATCCCCGAGATCATCCTGTACTGGAAGCATTCCACGGTCAGCGCTGGGCCCAGGCCCACGGTGCCTCCCCCCGGTCCCCAGACTGCATGTGGGGATGGGGTTACCGCTGGCCTCGCCAGCAGCACGACTGTCCACTTTGCTGCCAGCCCCTGGACGCCTCCACACATTCCCCCTTCCCACGTGGCCTGAGCGCCTCTGCAGAAACCCGCCTCCCTCTTGTCTCCGCTGCTGCCCATTCTTCAGGGGCCACTTCAGATGCCATCCTTCCCCGCCCCGCTCGTACTCCCTCCCAGGGTGGGGACGCAGCCACTTAGAGAACAAGGGCGTTTAGGGTTCTCCCCCCATGGCTCCATTTCTGACAAAAGACTGACCTCATGGTCTTACACATACTGCTCAGAAGTGCAGATCTGCACCCTCGTTGGTAGCGGCCACATTGGGGAGCCCCCCTCCATCATGTGGGGTCCCTCGCTGGTGCTTGCTGAGCTACCCGGTATCTGCAGTCTTCTCCAGCCTGGACTCTTCCATTTAGGAGGAGAAGCCAGAGGCGCTCCTCCCATCTGTCCCCCGGTCCCCTGGCCAGGGACGCCACTCAGGGCGTGAGCAGGCTGGCCTGGGGCTCTGGCCCGCAACTCAGGGGTCACCGCAGAGCTGGCCCCAGGAGAGAGTATGACGCAGGCACCACAACCCTCTCGTGTTTGCTGAGGCCTTACAGCGTGTCCTGCCAGCAGGATCTGGTTACACATCAGGTTTCAGGAGGATTTTCACCCCTGGTTGGTCCCGTGGCACAGCCAGCCAGCTGGCCTCTGTGGAAATGCCCTGTAAGCAGTTCTCGCAGGAGGCAGCTGTGTGCTCCTGGCCCACTGTCCTCAGAGCCTATACCTGGACCTCTCCGAGGCCGCCAACAGGGGTCAGAGCTTGGCCACCTTCCATGGTGGGGGATGGGCACACCCGTGTCCCAGCCAGAGTCCCTGGGGATGGGCCAGGCTAGACAAAAGCTCCGCCACAGGCAACTTTATTTGTCTTGGTTGGCTTTCCTCCTAGATCTTTGATGTGGGGGAGAATCTGACCGTCCCTGATGAGTTCACTGTGGAGGAGAGGCAGACAGGGATGTGGTGGAGACACTTGGTGGCTGGAGGCGGGGCAGGGGCCGTGTCCAGAACCTGCACGGCCCCCCTGGACCGGCTCAAGGTGCTCATGCAGGTAAGCAACAAGGCCCATCTGGAGGCCTGTGTGGGGCCATGCTTTTCTGACCCCGTAAGTTAGGTTGGAATTACTACTCAGACCAGGGTGACCACAGGGCCAGGCCAGGCCTCAGTGACTTTTTACACAAGCTGATCTCATTTTATCTGAGCCACATAAGCCTGGGCTTATACTACAGGGCCAGTGTGGATGGGTGAGGCTGGTGCAGCCAGGGAGAACTGGGTGTGCCAGGAACAGTTGCCTTAGCTGGTCTTGGTGGGGCTGTAAGGTCAGATAGGTCCTCACCTGGCCCAGTCACCATTACCTTGGCCTTGCACCAGCCAGACTCCACGTCCACAGAGCAGATATAAGCTAGACCAATGCCAGGGGCAGTTTTGCAAAATCAGCCTGTGCAAGGACAGACACCACTGTCCAGCATCGGTCTGCACGGTGATCAGTCACCCCCGGTGCCCTCCTGGGCCTGCCTTGGTTGGCAGCCTTCCCGACGTACCATGACAGGGAAGCCCAGTGGTTTGGGGAGAAATTCCAGTGAATCTGATGGATCCCACCTTCCCAGCCATATGACCTTGGGAGCAAAGTCCTGCGCCCGCAGCCCTCCCCGCCCCTGTCCCCACCCCACCCCCAACTTCCATGCTCCTGGAACTCGGGCCTCAAACATGTTGTCTTAGCAGTTTCTTTCCTGAGTTCCCGGGAAAGCTGCAGAGACTGATGGGCCCAGGGTGGCCTGGCGTGGGCTTTCAAGGGCAGGGCGGGGGCTGGGGTTTGGAGGTGGCTGAGCTGCCAGCTCACCCTATAATGCTCTGCAGGTTCATACAGGACTCACATTTTTCTGCCGCATAGCTCAGTCTCCGTTTCGGAGAGCAGTCCCTGCGGCGGCGGCCCCAGCAGGGGCACAGTCCGTCCAAGCGGGCCCCAGAGCAGCCAGGGCCCGCCTTCAGGATTCGGGAGGGAAGGGCCTCCCTGCCGACCCTCTGTCCTGTGAGGCGCCTCGTGGACGAGGTCAGGCATCCCGTGGCCCTGGGTCTACTCTGACCGCTCACCCCACCCCTCAGGTCCACGCCTCCCGCAGCAACAACATGTGTATTGTGGGCGGCTTCACCCAGATGATCCGCGAGGGCGGCGCCAAATCACTCTGGCGGGGCAACGGCATCAACGTCCTCAAAATTGCCCCCGAGTCCGCTATCAAATTCATGGCCTACGAGCAGGTGAGGACCTGCTCCCCAGGCACGGTCACCCATCGGCAGCTGCTACCTGAGCCTTCCCTGAGTGGAGGTCTCTGCCCTGCCAACGCCCCAGGACCTGGAGCCAGTCAAGGGACAGGGCGAGGCGGGAGGCTGGGTATGACACCCCCGCTGCCGGTGCCCCTGTGGGCAGATTCCCCTCCGTGCTGGGTAGCGTCAGGTGTGCCCGGGACACCAGGCCTCCGCTGCCCCTGCTGGATCTGTAGGGAAGGGCAGGGCGGCATGCTGGTCTGGGGGTACCAGCTTGTATGTTCCCTGTTCTAGATCAAGCGTCTCGTTGGGAGTGACCAGGAGACTCTGCGGATTCATGAGAGGCTCGTGGCAGGGTCCTTGGCGGGGGCCATCGCCCAGAGCAGCATCTACCCCATGGAGGTGAGCAGCCTTGGGTGGGGCAGGCAGTGCTCATGGGGATGAGGCTGAGGGGGGCGCCATGCTCACACTCCCTCTTCCCATTGGGCCCTGCAGGTTCTGAAGACCCGGATGGCCTTGCGGAAGACAGGCCAGTACTCGGGCATGCTGGACTGTGCCAGGAAGATCCTGGCCAGAGAAGGGGTGACCGCCTTCTACAAAGGCTATGTCCCCAACATGCTGGGCATCATCCCCTATGCTGGGATAGACCTCGCCGTCTATGAGGTGAGGCCCCTGGAGCAGGGGGAGAGATTTGGAAACCCCTCCTAGTCACCCTGTTGGCTCCCTGATGGATCGGGGTGGGATGGAGGGGTGTGGCTAGAACGGGAACCAGAACCAAAGGCTGCGGCACCTCCCAAACTCATGAAGTCACTGTTCGCCTCTCCTGTCACTGTCTGCTCCTGGTGGCCCCAGTTTTGCACCCTCAGGGGCTGGGTCAGCAGATATCCAGAGCACAGTGCGGGGGCAGTGGGGGAGGGGGTTTCCTGCTCTCTCCGGGAGTCCCCAGAGACAAGGGCGGGCTGCTGGGCTGAGTTAACGAAGTCAGTGCCTCAAGGGCCCCACATGAGGAGGAAATGCCTCCTGTCTGGATCCGGTCACTGCCCCGGCCACCCAGCTTCTTCCTGGGGCTCACCCCGTCCCTCCCCTTCCAGACGCTCAAGAATGCCTGGCTGCAGCGCTACGCCGTGAACAGCGCCGACCCTGGCGTGTTTGTGCTCCTGGCCTGTGGCACCATGTCCAGCACCTGTGGCCAGCTGGCCAGCTACCCTCTGGCCCTGGTCAGAACTCGGATGCAGGCCCAAGGTAAGGCTGGCCCTAGACCAGTCCCAGGGGCCGTCCCCCAGAGCAGGTTGGGAACCAGGGAGTTGCTGGTAAAAGGCCTCTGACAGGTGTCCCTCTCCCTGCAGCCTCCATTGAGGGTGCCCCAGAGGTGACCATGAGCAGTCTCTTCAAGCAGATCCTGCGGACCGAGGGGGCCTTTGGCCTGTACCGGGGTCTGGCCCCCAACTTCATGAAGGTGATCCCCGCCGTGAGCATCAGCTACGTGGTGTATGAGAACCTGAAGATCACGCTGGGCGTGCAGTCGCGGTGACGGGAGGGGGCAGGGGCCTTGCCCCGCGGACTCGCTGATCCTGGGCACAGCCCGGGGTGTGTAGCCGTCTCATTCTGTGAATGCCGACACTAAGCCGACGGAAGCCAAGCTGTGCAAAGCCTGGCCCCACCTGCGAAGGGAGAGCACTGGCAGGCCCACTGGGTGTGTCCTGCTGACCCTGCCACCCCTCGTGTGCATTCCAGGGACGACCTGTGGGTCCTCCTCGGGGCCGAGGCTCAACAGGACACGGCTCTCCCGTGGACGGGGTGCTTCCCCCAGGGCCCGCTGGACGGCAGGGCTGGGAGGCAGGCTTCTCCGGCCTTCCATCCTTGCAGCTCCACCATCGGCCGCAGACCCCACCCCAGCCTGCGAGCGCCTTCCCCCTGCCCACTTGGCTTCCTTCCTGGCTGCCGTTTTAATCTGGTGGGAAGAGGGCACGGCTGGCCTCCTCCCTGTGCTCCTGGCTCCACTCTCCTCAAGCCGCAGGGAAAGATGTTCCACCTGACCTCACCACCCCGGCTTCCCGACCCACGGCCTGGTGCAGGACAGGGTGGGTCTGGCTTTGTGCTCGCTCTCAGCGGAGCGCACCAGCAGACGGGCATCTGGATGTGCGCGCATGCGGGGTTGCATGGCTTCACAGAGGCTGGTGCTGGGCCCTGGCGCCCCAGGACCTCTGCTCCCCGCTGCTGGGGGTGTCGGGGCGCTCTCTGCTGGATTCGGTGAGGAAGGCATCAGCTCACCACTTCCTGTCCCCTCTGGGCCGCCAGGACAGTCGGGCACCCGCCTGGCAGGCTGGCAGCTTCTGCCCGCCTGGCGAGAGAAGGTGTAAAGGGCTTGATCATGTGCTGTTGGGAAAAGGGTTTTGTTCAGAAAGACGCTGGGCAGCTGTGCAGGGTCTGTGCTTCCAGAGGGAAGACAAGGCAGTGGGTAGCTTGGCGGACTGTAGCAAGGTCTGCTGGGGACGCCCCTGGGGGTTTGTGTCCAGTCCCAGCTGGGGCCGAGTGGGACCAGCCCCACATTCCACTGACGTTGCGGTGTGCTCGCCGCACTGCTTGTGAGGAGCCTATTTATTTTGTATTTATTTGAACAGAGTTATGTCCTAACTATTTTTATAGATTTGTTTCATTAATAGCCTGTCATTTTCAAGTTCATTTTTTATTCATATTTATGTTCCTGATGGGTTGCACCTTCCCAGTGCTGGCAAGGTAGGGTGGGGAGAGGAACGGGGGGCGTGGGGGGTCCCTCCCACTGCTGCCCACTCTGACGTCAGGTCACATCTGTCCAAAGAAATTCCTCTGGAGCTGGTGACAAGAAAGGCAAGGAGGGGTAGGGCCTGAGCGCGGAGAGCAGCATCCTTTGGCAGGTGGGGGCAGAGGCCGCCCCGGGAAGCCATGGGGTCTGAGGGTGGGTCGGGGTGGGTGAATGGGAGAAATCCCAACAGCGCTGAAGGTGAAAGTCCAAATCATTTTTTGGACTGGGAGGATTTCTTTATTTCCCCCTTTTTGGCTGACAGGGCAGCGGGGTGCCTATCACTGTGAGTTTGTGCGTGGGGCAGAGGAGCGGGTGGCCAGCCCCCCGCCCTGCCTGTGAAGTGGGCGCCCTCCCTCCAGCTGCCTCTGCGCCACAAGCTGGTCAGCGCCACTGCCGATGCCGCACGCGCCAGAATAGCCAGATGAGGACGAGCTGAGTAGGACGCAAAGATCAATGCAAAAATTATCTTTATATATAAATAGAGTATATCTGGAATTTGTGAATGCAAATTAAGAAAGACTTGGAAGTTGTCATTTAAAGCCGCCTTCTAATAAAGTTGTTTCAAAGCTGAAGATGCGTCCGCGGCTCTTCTGATCTGGGCTTGGGCGGTGCAGGTATTGATGTGTGAGAAAGCCAATGTGTAGCCCCCTTGGGCAGCTTCTCCCCTTGAGTTCCTCGGGGGTGCCCCTCTTTAGAACAGGTGTTGGTTGGATGTGGGGTGCTGAGGACCCATGCCTCTGAGCTGCTGAGTCAGGGTCGGGCCCTTCCAGCCCCTGTTGACTCAGACACCGTGGCTTCTCTCCACTTCCCTGGCTGTGCCTCCCGGCTTCTGTCAGTTCCGGTCATCTTCTGATGAGGGCAGGCCCCCCTTGGCACAGTCCTTGCTTTCTACCTGACTCCCCAGGAAAGGGCATGACCTTGGGGGGGCAGGGAATGTGTTACTGGGTTTTTTCCAGCATCTAAGACAGTGCCTAGTGACTTCAAATAAAGTCAGGGGGCATCTCCCTGGGCTAAAGCCAAGTTGCTCTCAGGCTCAAAAACACATTTGTTATTTAACTGTCCACACTCTAGGCTCCGATGGCCCAGGCACCTGATAGGCTGGGGTGAAGCAGCAAGTGTGCCCACATGCAAAGCTGGCATAGACACTTGTACTAGGTTAAAAGTGCCCTCCGCCCCAAAACTCATGTCCACCAGGAAGCTCAGAATGTCACTTTGCTTGGAAATAGTTTTTGTAGATGTGATCCATTAAGATCAGGTTTAGGCTGGGCACTAAGGCCAACAACTGGTGTCTTTATACAATTATACAATGGAAACTGGACACAGACACGCATGGGACAGAGACCCAGAGAACACCCAAGGGGGGCAGAGCTGCAGCTGCAGATCCCCATGGTTACAGGCAGCTGCCAAGAGGGAGGAACAGACCCTCCAGAAGGGGCCGGCCCACCAAGGTCAAATCTTTGACCTGAGCTGAGACGAGTTTCTGTTTTTAGTCACCCCAGACTGTTGTCATTTGCTCCCGGAGAAGCAGGCCACCTGCATCAGATGCCTCTCGTGGGGGGACAGGCAGAAGCCATTTCTCAACCACTGGCTCTTGGCCAATTGGTCCCCTCACTTCAAACCTGCTGCCTCCAGCCCGGAGGCCACAGAGAACCTGGGTGCCCTCCTCTTCCAGGTCAGTGTGCAGCCTGGGGCCTTGCCAAGTAGGCCTTTTTCTTCATCCCTCCTTTCCATCTTTAGTCCAGTGTCACCTTTCAGAGGCTTCCCTGCCACCCTATTTAAAATGGCAGCCTGTTCCCCCCACCGACCCAGCCTTCCCTGACACGCTGACCGTCCACTCTACCGAGCTTCCTCCGTGTGGATGTAAGTCCACGAGGATGGGGGTGGGGCAGGGCTTTCTTCACATGCTTGCCGGGAGAGCAGGCCCCTCGGGTGCTTATTTAGGAGGTACTAGCTGGAGGAGGCCCAGCAAATGTGCCGGAGTGTGGTCAGCAGAATCAGCATCAGGCCCCTCCTAATTCCCAAAACCTGTGGCCAGGTGATGTGACGAAGGGAACTCAAGGTGGTTCATCTGACCTCAAAATGGGGAGCTCAACTGCACCATCCAGGTGGGCCGGGAGAGCCAGAGAGATGGCCCCAGGGCACTGGTGGCACCTCCAGAAGCCGTAAGAGGCCTGGACCAGTCCTGAGAGCAACTTGGCTTTAGCCCAGAGAGATGCCCCCTGACTTTATTTGAAGTCAAGTTAAATTAGAACATCACGGTTTCAGGCGCTCACTGTGGAGAATGAGTATGGGCATCAGCTGCGTGAGGGTCACTGCTAAGCATCCCATTTCATGCTCAACAGGACCGGCTGCAGGTGGAAGCAAACAAGCGTCTTCAAACCGCCATGAGATGGCAAATCTCATGCCTTCTCTTGGCAGGAGAGCGGCCTTGGTCATGTTTGTGGCCAGATGGTGCTTGGGTGGGGCCAGGGAATCATGGAGGAGGGTAAGAAGCAGGCCCGGGGGCCCCGGCCTCGCCTCAGACCCAACTAGATGGGCCCTGGCCAGAAGCCTCAGCGGAGCCTGGGCAGGGGCAGGAGTTGCTGGCTGACCTCTCCTTGTCCACTCCACAGCCCGGGCACTGGAGCCCCTCTCACCTCAAACACGCAGGTCTTTGGGAACGGTGTCCAGCACCTACTCGGGCCCAGCCTGGGACGTAGGGTGTTAGGGAGGGTGGGGCACGGCCTGCCTGACTCTCCACGGATAGAGAGTGGAAATCCCGGCGTCTTGGTGTCCGCTCTGTGACCCAGGGCAGGTCACACCACCTTTCTGAGCCCTTTGGCTTGTCCACTAATAAAAGGAGCCGTGCCCGGGGGCTGCTGGGAAGTTGAGACAGGAAGTGGAAATGGCTGGTCAACGAGCAGTGGTCGCCCAGCTGTCCTCCCCGTGCAGGATTCCAAACAGTCATTTCCCCTCAGCGCCTCCCTGCGGCCCCAGGACCTCTGGCATCTGAGCGGAAGTGAGGGGGGCAGCGGGGGGGGCCCTGCTGGCGGGTTCCGGCCAGCTGCCTCCCTGAAGCGGACCCTTTGCTCTCCAAACCCCAGATCAGCTTTCATTGAGTGCACATAGGGCCTCGCTTAGTTCTGAGAAGGGGTTGCTGCTGCCCTCCTCCCTCCCCCCCCCCCCACAATTTACAGAAAGAGGAAACCAAGTCTCTGGGAGGGTCGGGACTTGCCCAGGGCTTTCCCTCGAGTGGGTGATGGACCCAGCAGGCCTGGGGGTGGAGGTAGGGGGGGCTCCGCTGGGGTTTCCCCTGCCCACGCCACACCAAGCGGACCTGACCCAGGTCACTGCCCACCCCAGGGCCTTCACCAAGGGGCAGGTGTGCCTGGTTCCTGCTGCTCCCCAGGCCGGGAGGCCACAGAGAAACTGGGCCACCTCGGGCACTGTGATCCTGGGCAAATCTCCCTATTTCCCCGAGATGGGCACACACGTTCCTTACTGCCCAGAGGAGGAAGGGACGCGTCCAGGCTCACACAAACAGGACCAAACCTCAGTTCAAACCAGCTTTGCTGACTCCAAGGGCCACGTCCTCGGCTTGAGCTCCCGGCACCCATCTGAGCTGGTAGAATGTAGGGAAGGGTGAGAGGCCCAGGTGTTGACCTTGGGCCCTCAAGAGCTGAAGAGAAGGCTGGAACTGACCTGCAAGGCCTGGATGTGGTGGCTGGGGAGGTTGGCAAGGGTTGGGTGGACCAGGAGGAACCCAGTGAGAAAACTGAGGTCTAAGGGGTCAGAGGCCACCCACCCCAGGCCGCCCCAAAGAACCCTACTCCCCTCCCCGTCATTTACAGGAGGGCAGACAGGACCGGGCAGTGACCACAGTCACTAGGCCCCCCTACGGCTGTTTCTCTACCCCGGCCACACTGACTCACACCTGTGGCCTCCGCTTCAAATGACTCTAGACTTGGTGTCTCAAAACAACACAAACCTATTCTCTCAAAGATCTTGAGGCCAAAATCCAACTTCACCGGCCCCCGGGGTCTGGTGTTCGGGCCTCCCACCTCCATCCTCTGCCCCTTCTGTAGTCAGACCTGCTGCTTCTCTCCTGAGGACGCTGGCGACTGCGTTTAGATCGTGCCAGATAACCCCTCACAAAGCCATTAGCCACCCCCACAAGCCCCCCTGTCCCTTAAGGTGTCCGCTGCTCCCCTCAGCAGTGTATTTCTGTCAGTCCACCTGTTCTGTTCCCCACTCTGTCTCTGGTGAATCCTCTCACCCCCCGCATCTCTGGCCTGTACCCCAGTTCTTGTATGCATAAACAAATAAATCTTGGGGGAAAAAATGCCAACCAGAATCCACCCAATCCTTGCAGCCCACTGGGGCTCTACGCCAGCACCCCCGCCCGGGGAGGAAGGATCTCTGTCCTCACAACCCTCCTCTCCTTCCTTCCTGAAGCTCTTTTTGGCCCCTGACCATGAGTTCCAGGAGCCCCGCTGAGCTGAGCAGGAAGTGTGTTCTGAGAACAGACAGTGGACCCCGCCAGCTGCGTGAAGCCCCATGCATGTGGGGATTCTGCAGATTTCACTGTTCAGCCTTCCCGTCCCTGATCCCCAAGGGCCTGTCCAAAGATGGGCAAGGAGGGGCTTGCCCAAGGCCCTAGTGGACAATGGCAGGATCCCTGACCCAGGCCTTCTGCCACCAAGGCCACAGACTGTGACCTGGGCATGACAAAGTCAGGGTGGGAGTTCCGGCTTGGGGTGCTTTCCTAAGAGACGTCTACCTGCCGCCTTCAGATCGCGGCCTGTTAAGCCCATCTGAGGGATGGGCAAGCGGATCCCTATCATGGAGACTGCCCAGAGGATGCAATCCCAGAATCAGCCCAAAGGTGACAGACCTCGCACTGCCTCCCTCTCCTACAGGGTTTTTGCATCCTCTGCTGCCCTCCGGTGGCTGTGGGGAAACAGGCCCGGGCCCAGCAGGGAAGCGTTTGGGTAAACTGAAGCAGGACTGTCCTACTCCGGAAGGCGAAAGAAGCCGGGCTCAGGCAGTGCCTGTCAGGGCCTTGGGTTGGCTGGTCACTCTCAAGCCCCGTCACAGGGAATGGGTCTGACTAACATGTCCTTGAACTTTTCCATTCGGCGGAAGAGGGCAAGAAGGGAGTGGGCAGGCTCCTCCGCGGGCAGCAGCCCCAGGGGAAAAAGCCCTTGAGGAGTCAGGCGCTGACCCCAGCGTGGGTCAGCCTGCGGCCACTGTGAAACGTGGAGACGCAGCTGACCCAGGAGAGAAGAGCTGGTCGCAGAGGCCTGGCCCGCAGCCAAGGCCCCCCACTGCTGCCCGGGGCTACGGGAGGAAGCCGGGGCTGAAACCCAGTCAGGGGCCAAGAGGGAAGCAGAGGGCGGGGAGCCCCTGCTGACACGGTGTCCTGGACAGCGCCGTGGCCCACGCTGGGGTCATCACATGCCCTCTTTGGGATCTGGAGCTGAGAGAAGAGGTTGGGAAGATACCAAGGAACCCCCGGCGGGGCCTGAGGGTGGCAGGGAAAGGGAGAAGTGAGTGAGCACGGGAGGGGGCAACAGTCGCAAGGAAGGCCCCTTGGTTCCCCAGGCCTGGCTCCCGCCCGAGGCTCTGGGGCCCTCAAGACTTGCGGTCTGACCAGTGGAGCAGGAGCAGCCCGAGCTGGGAGACCCAGACTCATACCCCCTCGGGGGCGACTCCCATGGCTCAGCCAGCCTCCGAGGGGCATTCCCAGAACTCCGCGGGGCACCCGGCCGTGCAGCCTGCCAGGGCCAACCATACAGCCTCGGGCCACGCATCCGGAGGGAGAGGAGGTGGGGGGCCACCTGGGGTGAGCTGAGGCCACCGCCCCAGAGCAGGCTCCTGCCTGGCGGGCGTGCTTGTTAGTACAAGGAAAGTGAATTATTTTTGTTTTTAAATAACGACATTTAAAACCCCCAAGAGGATCAGGGGGGTTACCACTCACCTCCACTGGGAGAGCCCACAGGCACCTGATTCTGGCGGGCACCCTAAAGCCACCATGCCACTCGGCTTCTGAAACCCTGGGGACCTGGACCCCATGCAGGGCACAGCCCCTCTACACTCCCACGCTGGCTCGTCCGGTGGGCCCGTTGGCCTGGGCTATCTGGAAGGTGCCGAGCTCGCCCACCCCTGACTCCTGGCCACCGCAGACTCTGCGCAGAGCCTGCACGCTCACCATCCACGGCCAGCATCTTGTCATTAAACCCCAAGGTCGACTCATTGTGCCCAGTTGACATCATGCCCTCGTTGAGGCTCGGAGAGGGGCATCACCCCCATCCCAGTCAGTGGGCGGTGTCTGAGCCTCCTCTGTACTCTGGCAGTAGTGTCCTGGGGGTTACACGACAGAGCCCTCTGGGCCCCCACCAGACAGAGGGGCATGGCATCACCCCAAGCATCCAATGACCTCTGGCCCTTATGCGCCCCAGCTAGGGGTGGCACAGCTTTTCTTTATTGCCAACAACACACAGTGCTAGGGCACATGGGAGGGGCAGAAAACAGAGGGAGTCAGTGCCAAGCCCCACTGTCCCTCCTTCCCTGGCCCCGTGCAGGAGTCCGACGTGATTTCCAACCACAGATGAGGCAGCCGGAGATGCCCAGAGAATGGCCCAGGACAGGGGTGGGGCAGTCCCTGGCTGGGGCAGGGGAGGAGGTAGGCACCCCATGACGCTTGAGGGCCCCAAGCGACCCTGCAGGGACCCACTGCGAGAAGCACGAACAGGGCTTCTGGGGCAGGGGCGCAGAGGCAGCGTGCTCCTGCCTGAACCCTGCCCTGGGACAGCGTCACGGCCAGGGGCAGCTGGGCTCAGGTCCTGGGAAGCAGCATCATCCACCACTCCCTGCTCCCTGGGCAGACGCAGGTCACTGCGGGGCCTGAGCGATGGCCTTCTCCACGCGCAGGTACCAGGGCTGGATGCGGGTGTGACGCATCATGTCGTCGAAGGCTTCCAGGCCCTCCATCACACGCAGCACCCCGTACACGGCCTGCGGGGCGACAGCACCGTCACGGAGGCTGGTCGGGGGTGGGCATCCAGACCAGCCCTGCCCTCTGCCAGCGACGTGCTGGGTCTGCGACCTCCCGTCCCTGAGCACGCCATGGCCCACGGCAGGGCCATTGCACGTGGGTTCTGGGGGGCTATGGGGGCAATGGGGCAACTGCAGGTTCTGCCTGCCCCACGTCCACACCTTCCTTCTGGGCAGCAGCCCAGCCAGTGTCCTGTGGGGAAATGCTCGCTCCCACTCTCAGGCCCTGAGCCCCGACCTGGCAAACATCCACCCTGGCCGCAGGACCCGAGGGCGGGCACTGAACCCTGCTGCACGGACCAAGCTGGAGCCAAGTCCAAGGAGGTGAGATGCAGCAGGGAGGGCCTACATCCAGGAACATCACTCAGCCCGGATCCACCAGGCCTGGACGGACTTGTCACATGAACCCAGCAGCTGACTTTACTGGGGCCCTGAAACAGAGGAGCCCGGTGTCTCTGGAGGTGGAGGAGCTGTGAGGTGTAGGTACTGCCTGTATCAAGGTCCCCAATCTCAAATACAAGGATAGTCTGGACCCCCACTCCCACCACACTTACCAGGTCAGCCAGGTTCGGCTTCTGGCCCCCCATGAAGGGCCGGTCTTTGCCCACAGCTGCCACCCACTTGTCGGCAGCTGCATAGAGGTCCTCACGCACATCATCCTGGAGGTGGTGCCTGGTGGGGGTGGGAATGGCCTGTCAGGGGAGCTCTGACCCCCTCACCCAAGTGGGGAGAGCAGGAAGGCCTGGGGGCCAGCAGAGACCCCAGTTATCATCCGCTCCAGACCAGGAAACCCTGACCCAGTGAGAACCAGAGGCTCAACCATGGGGAGAGGCAGGAGGGACAAGGCGCTGGACTCCAAGGCCCACCCTGCTTCCCCTGGAGTCAGGGGGACCAGGGATTCTGGGTTGAATCCCCAGTTCAACAAACACCTGAAGGGGGTGGGGAGCTCGGGGACAGCAGGCCCCTGGGCACGTGTACGCGTGCGAGGACTCTCACCTGCTCTTGAGCCTCTTGCTGATGATGTACATGGCAGCGGCGCCCATGTACTTGGCCACAGCGCCCTCCACCGCCCCGAACCGGCCCTCCTTGACAATGTAGTCGAAGGAGGCCAGGGCCTCGGCGGGCGTGCGGTAGACGTTGGGGGAGATCAGGTGCACCAGCCAGTCGTCCGCCCACTGCCGCCATTTCATCTCCTCCCTGCGGGCACGGGGGCACAGAGGGCGGCCAGGTGGGTTCCAAGCTGCCCTAATCCCAGCCTGATCCCCCTGGGGAAGACCTTCCTCGCCACCTGCCCGCAGCCCCACTCACGTCCTCGCCTCCTTGCCCCCGTAGAGGCGCTGGGCCTCCTTCTCGTCCAGCATGAGCCAGTACTTGTTGCAGAACTCGGTCACCTCCTTGCCCTGCTCGTTCACAGCCTTCATGGGGGGGTAGTAGGTGACCACGTCTTCCAGGGGCTGCCTTTGGGAGACACAGAGTCTCACCCGCCCCACCCTCCCTCCCCAGACCCAGCCCCACGCCTCAGGCGGAATGCCCACCCCAGGCCACAGGGGCTCCTGCAGACAGGGGGTTGGGGCAGATGGCGGGGCACGTCCCTGAGGGTGTGTGGGTGACAAGGGGGCATCTCAGAGGAGGGTGCCCATGGCCCGTTCTGGAGAACGAAGTTGTAATCCCACCTGTCCCCATGTGGGAACTCAGGGAGGCCTTCCTGGAGATAGCAGGGTGTCCCCCGGGGCTCCTTACCCTGACACCAGGCAGGTCTTGAGGGCGCTGATGATGACAGAGGAGTCGTTCAGTTGTTGCTGGAGGAGAGGAGACTGGTTGAGGGCCTCCTGGGGACCTCTAGAGGGGCAGACCTGCTGCTGGCAGGATCACCGGGGGCTCTAAACAGCACAACCCTAGGGCGTCTGTGGCCCTGACCCCAGGTTTATCCATCCATGGGGCTCACCCCTAAAACTGATGTCCACTGGCCTCTCCTCTCCCCCAAAGACCCAGTCCTGGCCCATCTAAGTAAGGGAGACCCAAGTGTGGCTAAAGAGGAGGAAGGTGTGGGGAGAGCCCCTGGTCTGGGTCCCACCCACTCACCCGCCTGGCCTCCCAGGCACTGAAGGCAGGGGGTAGTTTAGAAGCTATATCATAGCTGCCAAGCACTGTGCCAGGCATTTCAGATCTGCTGTTCCTACAACCGAGAAAGTATTGTCCTCAATGAATGAAGAAGGAAATCCAGAGAGGTTAAGTGGCCCCAAGTCATACAGCCTGTGATGGCAGAGCCACTCCTGGAACCCAGAACACCCTGCTTTCAGCCTGCAGAACCCCTGTTAAGCTCCGTGGGCTCCACCTCCATTAGGGCTGGCCAGCGTTTGGTGTTGGACCCTCTGGGGTCCAGAGAGCTAAGACCCACACAGGGCACTGCAGGACAACCTAGGACATGGGGCAGAGTTGTCTCAGCAGCTCACCAAGCTCTCTCCTTCCTGGGCCAACAGGATGGGCACCTTTCTGTAGGAGGAGAACTTGATCTCGGCCCGGCGCACGGGGTTCACCTCCACCACCTCGTAGGGCAGTGCATGGAAGTCGAGGAAGGCGCGGACCTTGCTGCAGAAGGGACATGTTTTGTACTGGTACAGGGTCAGCTGCAGTCGGCTAGACAGGGAGAGCTGTGAAGAGAGCAGGCGGGGTGGGGTGGCTCCGGAGGCCTGGTCTTCTGCCCAGACTCTGGACCCACCCCCAAACCTACTTTTACCAGGGGAGTCTCCTAGGCAGAAGCTGGAGGGATAAAAGGAGGAGAAGGATTTAGTGGGGGAGGGGCAGGAAGAAAAAGAGGTCCAGGGAAGTGGGGGTCCTTTGTGCATGGACAACCAGGCTCAAGCACCCACCCAGGTGTGTAGGAGGAATCTTCTGGTCTCTATGCAACACTGAACAGATGCCTCTCTCTCCTATCCCAAGGGACACCAGGCACCACCCCCCCATGGTCTGGCCTCTAGCAGAACATTTGTTTCAACATGGAGGGCCACTCCCACCCCCCAACCCCAGGACCTCTGGCTGAGGGAGCACTGCTGGGCCCCAACCTGGCTAGCAGCCCAGATGGCCAGAGCAGAGCCTACCTGACACCTCCAAAGGGTGGAGTTGGACCTGGGCCTTGAGCCTGGCTTGGCCTGTGCCCCAGGTGAGCCTGCTGCACCTTCAGATTCCCAAGCCTTATCTGCAAAGTCTTAACTGCAGTCCACCCCCTTCATTGCTCAGAGGAAAAACAGACTACACTGGCGGGGGGGGGGGGGGGGGGGGGGGGGGGGGAACAGGGAACTCCTGTCCCCTCTGTGGCCCAGGAAAGGGGCACCTGGGGGTGGGGGTGGGGGGCAGAGTAGAGAAAAGGTGTTTGGGAGTGTAGATAAAGCATCGCAAAGGTTGGGCCACCCACCACAGGACTGGCAGGACACCTCCTGGTGTCCGGCCAGGTGTCTAGGTTCATCAGTTCCATGACCGTATTAATGCTAATAAATACACCCACGACAGGGTCTGGAGAGATGGGAGGGAGGCGACCAAGTGATAAAGAGCGAACATCACTTTCTCGTGACCTCCCAGTCTTCCCGTTAAAATGTCTTAAAGCTCGTTTGAAAAACGACGTGACAAGGACAAGAGCGCTGGCAGGGCGCCTGCAGCGACCCCATTTCACGGATGGGGACGCAAAACCAAGTCACTCGCCCAAGGTCACAGGGCGGAGGAGGAGATTCCCGACCCCACAGGAGCCCCCAGGTTCGGCGCTGAGCCCAGAGCGCAAGCGCGGCCCGCGCGGCGGGTCCCGCCCGGACTTACCTGCGCGGCCGAGCGCTCGGCGCGGAGGTCCTGGGCGCGCAGGTGCCACCGCGCCGTCTGGTACAGCCCCAGGGCGCCCCCCAGGGCCAGCGCCGCCGCCCCCAGGAGTCGCGGGCTCCCCTTAAGAGCCGTGGCGGCGGGGCCCGGGCCTCCGGCTGCCCCGGCGAAGCCGGCCCGGCCACTCTCGGGGGCCCGGGCCGGGGGCGAGCGCCCAGCCACCAGGCCGCGGAGCGCCCGCCGGGCCGCAGCACCCGCGCGGCCTGGGCCATCGTCGCTCCGCCGGCGCCGCGGGCGGGCGCGCGAAACGAAACCGCCGAGGCGCCGGCTTGAAGGGGCGGGGCCCGAAGCCCGGCGGTTGCCAGGGGTGACGGTGACGCCGAGCTGGGAGGACCTACCCTCCCGAGAACGCGCGTGCTTGCCGGCGCCCAGATTCCCCAAGCCCGTCAGAGCTGCAGCAACACCCGCGGGGTGTCTGGGAGTCCCTGCATGCCTCGGGCTTCTGAATTTGTCGGGGTAATGAGTCTCGGGGGGACTGGGGCCGAATACCCTGGTGGCCCCTGAGCCCCAGGGTCGTCTATAATATATGCTTAGGAACGTGCACCTCTGCGCCTAATGGACAGAAAGCGAAGTGTCAAGGCAAGGGTGAAGGCTTCGAGTCCATCGGGGCCGCGGAAACCGCCCGCGGGCCCTCAGGACGGGCGCCCGGGACGCGGGCTGTTTCCGCCCTCCCGCGCGGCCGCAGCGCTCCCGTGGCCCGAACCATAAAGACGTCCCGCGCAGCAGGGGGCCTCAGCAACCACGTGTCTCAGATTTCGCTCACTCGGAGGAGCCGGCCCGCCGACCCGGGGGTCCCCAGAGGCAGAATGAGGCAAAATGGGGTCCCAGGGTGCCCCCGCCCTCCGCCGGCTTGCTCCCCCGAGCTGAGGGCGGGAGCCTCCACCTCCCAGGCTTCTCCGCGGGCAGCCCCGGGACCGCCCGGGCGGGCGACCGGAAGCGGGCGGAGTGGGCGGAGATCGGAAGGCGTGACGCGTTGTGGGCGGGGCGGGGGCGGAGTCTGACGGAAGGAGGAGGAGCTCTGCTCTCCGAGGAAGATGCGCAAGCTCGGCGGCGGGGGGCGGGCCGGGGCCGTGGGGGCGGGGTCTAGCTGCAGGGAGGGGGCGGGGAGGGGCGGGGCTCGGTCTCGCGGCCTCGAGCTGCGTGGGCCCGCGCGCCTCTACCCGCTTCCGCTGAGCACGCGCCGTGGGCGCGACGGTCGCCGCGTTGCACCGTCGCGAGACCCTTACGGAGCCCCAGGCCACAAAGTCGGGGCGCAACGGGGAGCTGGGCGTGCCGATGGAGCCGGAGCGGAAGGCGGGACGAGCAGTTGCTTTCTCCGGGCTGCCCTCCTGGGAGAGGGAGGTGGGACCAGTTTGGGGGCTCGGAAGGGGCCGCAGAGCCTCCAGTCCTGGGTGGGTTGCGAGCTGCAGACGCCCTCTACGGGCTCAAGGCAAGCGCCGTCGGCCGGGTCCTTGGAAAAGGCGGCATTCGAGAACTGGGGGCAGCTGGCAGTGTTTTACAGATGGAGAAACTGGGGCCGCCGCAGAGCCCCTGGGCCGTGTAGGATTTGCTCCAGACACTTCTTTCAGCCTCTGGAGGGGGCGGGCCCGGTCTTGGCCTAGTGGGGGGAGAGAGAGAGTGAGGTCAGCATCCCCGGCCACCTTTGCTGGCTTGGCCTGGAGCCTTGGCCAAGGCGACTTGATATGAGGCAACCTGATGCCTGCACAGCTAGAGCCGCCTCCTCTTGTCTCAGCTTACCCATCTATACAGTGAGAGCAATGACCAGGGTGTCCTGCACAGAGATGTGTCAAGATCAAATGGGAAATTGATGAATGCAGGGAGAGGCTGAAGGCTAGTGAGGCCCATGCTTTAGATACCCTCGTCTTTTGCCCACCTGGCAGCTTCATCCTTGCATGGGGTGATTCATCCTTTGCCAAATATAGAGGGGCAACCCAATGACCAGCCCTTCCAACATGAAGTACATGGCAAAGTCCTTACTATGCCGTCCCAGCTAGGACTGGACTGATATGAGTGTAGGTCCCAGCTCTTAGTTTGCCACCCAGGCCTCCCTGCCTTTAGTCCCTCCACTGCCTCTTCCTTAATGTATTCCAGTTAGAGGCCTCTCAGTGGCCAGCAGTGGGCACAGGCCAGCTGAATGCACAGAGCCCCAGGGCTGAGGACCAGCTGTGGCCGAGTTGGATGGAGCCTGAGCCCAGGCTACCACGGTTGGGTGTACTCTCCAGCTGAGGCCAAGAGCACACAGAAGCGAGAACGGTGTCAGGTCAGGCTGGTGGCAGTGACAGGCCCAGAGCCGGGCAGAGAGAAGAGTGGGTTTGATCAAACTCAGAGACTGCTTGTGTGCAGCAGCCCTTGGGTCTGCACCAGCCTCTGTTTGCCCAGGGCTGTGAAGGATTTGCAGCCAGCTCTTCACAGAAGGGAAACTGGCAGAGATTTGCAAGCCCCTAGAGTAGGCAGGGTTCAAAAGGGGCCCTTGACTGGGCCATGCTGCTCTGCACCAGACCTGGTTTCCTCACACTGCCCACCCTGCCCCGGCACCCCTCCCCTGGAGAGCAGCAGGATGAGTTCATACCAGGGGGACCCTGAATTTCAGGATCTATCTAGAATGTTCTGCTAAACCACTTATCGGTGGTCCCTGCCCCTCCCCTACTTAAATTCTTTGGGGCTCCATCTGTAGTCTCCCCCACAGCCAACAGTCACTGCAGACTTGAGGATACCTTTTATGGTCAAAGGGTGGAGCCCCTGGGCTGCACTCTGGGATGGAGTCACTGGCACACCCCAGGGAAGGCGGGCTTTGGTGGCGACATCGTCCCCCTCCACCCCCCCCCCCACCCCCGGTTGTGCTCATCTCCCCTTCCTGCCCTTTCACCACCCAGATGGCAGCAGGGCTTGCCAGAGGGGGTGGGGGTCTGGCAGGGAACTCGCTGCCTTACAGAGGCCATGTCTGTGCCCTATGCACCAGCCCAGGCCCCTTCCCTATGCCGCCCCCAACCCACCCCAAATCCAGAGCCCAGGCTGCTGGTGAGCTGATTCCAGGGAACAGGTGGGTGGAGCCAATGCGGTACCTGTCAGTGTCAGTGTCACCTGAGGCCTCAGGGCAGGAAACAGGCAGCCTCGGCCCTTGTGGGACAGCCATCTGGGGGACACGGCAAAGGGGCTGGGACCCACACCACCTCCCAAGGACAGCCAGGCCCCCGTGACGAAACTGCTTCCCTCCAGGATACAGCTCGATTTAGCCATGTCCAGGGCCTGGACCCAGGCCACTGGGTTCCACGGCCCAAGACTGTGGCCAGGCATGACCAATGGCCTCAGTGACATCTGAAGGACAGGGTTAAGTCCTTTCATTTCCCGTGACCCAAAGCTTTTGGGGTCCAGAGCAGTGGAGTGCAGTGTCCACCTCACCCTGCTGTGTCCTCAGTCTCCAGTGCACACACAAGCTTCTTGCTGTCCCCCCACCAGGAGGGAGCTGGGCAGCAGCCCGTGCCTCATGGGGAAGCCACGTGGGTAGCTCATAAGCCAAGCAACAGTCCACTGGGCCCACAGATTCTTAGGGCTCAGCTGCCCTCTGGGCTGACTCCTGTCAATGGGGAAGGGGCGACTGAAGGCGGGGAGCACTCCCAAGTCAGCCCTCAGAGGGCCCTGTACCAGGGCCTGATGTGGGGCCCCAGGAGACCCAGGATCTGGGCTCAGGTGCCACTGTGTTCTTCCCAGTGGACTGTCCACACGTAGCCACCCCGCCCCCATCCCTTCTGCAAATCTGCAAACAGCACCTGGTCTGTTAGGGTGAAGCCTTCTCTGCTTTCACTGTGTGTAGGGAGCAGGGTGTCACCCTGGGCTTGGGCAGGGCAGGGTTTCCTGGAGGTCAGAAATGACAGCTTGTCCAGATCGGGGACCATGCACCCACAAACAGGGCAGGAAGCGAAGGGGCACAGAGCATGAGGAGTGAGCCCTTGTCCTGCCAGAGGCACAGAGCTCTGGGAATGACCCACCCTGGATTTCCTGCCCCTCCATCTTGCACAATCCTGATGGGGGGCAGGCAGGTTGATGGGGGGGGAGGTGCAGAAATCTTGCCAAGTGTTTCAACAGGAGTTGCTGGCAATTGCTTCACCTTCCTGTATTGGCAAAGGGTGACTCACCCTCTCTTTGGCAGGCTGCTGCCCAGATGGACCATAAATAGGATCCCTAGACCAGCCTCCTCACTCACCTCCTCGGCACCACCCAGGCCCAGCAGCTGCCAGAACGCCGCTTCCTGTGCCTGAAATCATGCCCCTAGGTCTCCTGTGGCTGGGCCTCTCCCTGCTGGGGGCCCTGCAGACTCAGGCCCAGGACCACCCCTCAACCCAAAATCGGATCCCAGCCCCATCTCTGCTCAGGGTCCCTCTGCAGCCTGACTTCGACGATGACCAGGTAAAGGACCTGGGGGAAAGCAGGGGCGGCAGGGAGGGCCTGGGGAAGAGAGCAAAGGCAGGAGGGAGAGGAGTCTGAGGAAGCCTCTGAGCGCAGGAGGGCCAGGACCCTGGGAGTCCTGTACCCAGGCCCCCTCAGCCCGTCCTGTACCCGGAGGGAAACCCCCCCACCTGCCCCCATCCCACCCTGACCTTTGCTGATAAAAGAGTCGCCTGAGCAGACTTTTCCAGGCCCATACAAGGCAGGACCTTTCTCAGGCCCTTAGCATGACGAGGAGGCTCCGGCTCAGAGAGCCCGGCTGGCCACTGCCAGAGTCCCTCATCCCTGCTGGACTCAGGCCTCCTGCGGGCCCGGGGGCCTCAGCTCCTGCCGGCTTCTTTAGTGTAGGCCTGATGCCCAATTAGAGGGGCTCCTGGCTCCAGGTGAGCTGCCCTGGGGAGCCTTCTGGGACAGAGGGGAGCAGGGGCCCTGGGCCTTTCCTGGGCTCGGCCCCAACAGTGCCCCCTGTAGTTTCAGGGCAAGTGGTATGTCCTAGGCCTGGCAGGGAACAACTTTAAGAAAGAGGATCAAGGCCAGTTCAAGATGTACGCCACCATCTACGATCTGAAAGAAGACCACAGCTACAACGTGACCTCCATCTTGCTCAGGTGCGAGCCGCCTCCAAGGGCGCATCGGGGACTCAGGGACTGCCCCTGAGCTGGCAAAGCCAACCTCTCAGCCTGAAGCTGAGTCATGCATCCCACTGCTCAGCTCCGGGCTCGCTCATCCCAGCAGCTGCACGGTCACGTCGCGCAGACACACGGACAGTGCTGGGGCGGGACAGGCCATCCCCAGGAACAGAGATGAGAGAGCAGGGGTCGGATGGGAGGAGGGTCACTGGATTCAGCCCAGAACCCCACCCAGCGCTCTGTCGAGGGCTTCCGAGGAGGTGGCCTTGGGACTGGACCTCGTGGGTGTGGGGGTCCCTCCCTGCGGGAAGTAGTGCCCCGAGTTGGAGCTGAAGCCACAGGCAGGGGTGTGGGGAGAAGCCACAGGCAATGCAGAAGGATCTGGTGAGCTCTGGGTTGGAGCAGGACCATGGGGCTGCAGCCGGGAGAAGGATAGTGGGGTGCAGCTGAGAGGCTGGCCGGCCACAGGTGGGAGATGACAGGGGTGGGGGCAGAGGCAGGCTGGAAGAAGGGAGTTGGAGATCACCTAACTCTATGGGTTCTGGCTCTGGCAGTGGTGGTGGTGGTGGGGGGGGCGTTGGACAGGGAGGCTGGAGAACTTGTAGATGGAGTAGACACACAGGTTTGGGGAGATCCGTTTTGGGGTGGTGAGGGGCAGGTTGGGAGTCTGTTGACAGGTCAGGGTTGGCTAAAGAGCTAGGGGTATCCTGGACACGGAGCTAACCCTGACCTTGAGGGTAACTGCCCAGGAGAGATGACAGAGGAAAGAGTAATGTGGTGTGTAGCAGGGAAAGTCACCAGGGGAGGGACCCGAACGGGAAAGACATGGGTGCTGGTCTGGGTGGGATCAGGTGACCCAGGACATGCCAGGCAGGGCAGGCTCAGAAGCAAGACTCAGGCCCAGCCTAGGGGGTTGGGGCTCTGCTGCAGTGGGGGATGGGCTGTCATGAGCTGGGCTGTACTGGGGGCCTCAGACTCCTGGTGCAGCCTCACCCCCACCTTGTCCAGCCCAGGGGTCCAAGCCCGTGTCTCCTTCCCTCTCCACCACCCCTCTCTCATGCCACAGGAACGAGAATTGTGATTACTGGGTCAGAACTTTTGTCCCAAGTTTTCAGCTTGGCCAGTTCAGCCTGGGGAACATTAAACGTGAGTCCTAATATGGGCCCTGGGATTGAGGGCACAGGCCCGTAGACTTTTGGGGCAGAAAGGAGCGACTCCCTGCAGCCCAGCCAGGGCCAGCTGACCCCTCGCCGCCCACCCCACAGGCTACCCTGGTCTCCTGAGTTACACCGTGAGAGTGGCCTCCACCGACTACAAGCAGTTTGCCTTGGTGTTCTTCAAGAAGGTAGACAGAAGACGGGAGCACTTCAAGGTCACCCTCTATGGTGGGTCCTCGTCCCCCACCTCGGGGGTCCAGCTCCTTGTCACCCCGGAGCTGGGTGTGGTTGGCGAATGTGAGGCCGATCCCCACCCAGACCCCAAAGTGTCCAGGTCCAGCTCCACTCTGAACCCCCGGGAGGCCAGGGAGCGAGGTCTTTCTCTGGGCCCTCCGTGAGGCAGCAGCCGGGGCCTCATTCAGCACCCACAATGTTTATGGCATCTTCGCCGGCCACTCGCCGGCCATCTCGGCCACAGGGAGGACCAAGGAGCTGACCCCTGAACTGAAGAGGAAATTCGTCCGCTTTGCCAAATCCCTGGGCCTCACCGATGACTACATCGTCTTCCCTGTCCCCATCGGTAACAGCCAGAGGGCGAGGAGGAGGGCGTGGGCACTGTGGTGGCTGCTGGGTCCCGCCAGGGTAAGGGAGAGAGGAGAGACTCTGTCCCCTGCTCCAGGCCCTGGGACCCGCTTTAGCTTCACGAAGACCCTGCCCCACGTTGGGGTAGAAGGGGGGTCGGGGGAATGAACCCCAAGTATTCCTCCTTGATGGTGTAGCTCAAACCCATTCAGATGAGAATTGCAGGCCCAAGTCCAAGTGCTCCCCACTGCATCGCCCAGGGCCAGCTTCTTCTCCACCCAAACCCTAACTGTCCTGGAGTGCCACCTTGGGCTTGTTCACTCTGACTTGAGAGGTGCCCTTATCTTCAAGCAGGCTGGTCTGGGCAGAGGCCATACAGGCCACTCTGAGAGCCACTAGCCACCACCCCAAGGCTGAGAGTCTCCAGGGCTCATTGGGTAAAAAGCAGCAGGCGGCCTAGTGTGGCTGGTCCTGACTCGCCTCCTCTGGAGACCACTGTCCCCCAGGACTGCACGTTCTCCAGTCCCCTGTCCCCATCACTGGCCCCTTTGTTTCCTCATCCCTGAAAGGATCCCTTAAATCTGCTGCTGGGCCAGGCTGGGACCTGGCTGTGGCCTGGGGCAGTGTGGGAATCCTGGTGGCCGGGGGTCTCTCTCATGCGCCCTGCCCATTCTGATGGACATCTCCCTTTCCCCCCAGACCAATGCATTGATGACCAGTGATCCTGCGTGCAGTGAGTGTGGCTGGGGCAGGGACTGATGGGATCTAGGATGCAACAGAGTGGGCAGAGTGGGTGGGGGGTTCCCTGGCCTTCCTTCGCTGTCTAACCCCAGCACTGCTGCCGTTTCACTCCCATCTCCCTCCCTCTCAGGTGCCTCCTGTCTCCCTCAGCCCATCACCTGTCAGCCTCTGCCCCAGGTGGCCCAGCTGTCCCCCACCAGCCCAGCAAAGGTCTCCAGCAGGAGCACCAGGAGACCTTTCACACTAACTGCTCCTGGCCATCCCACTCATGGAGCTCCCCTTTGCCTGCTAAATAAACATGTGTCTCCTGACCTCCATTCGCTTCTTGGCCCCTGGGCCATCCGGGGCGAGTGGGGCACAGGGCAGGCTCACAGCAGCACCACCCCAGGGATGTGTCCTCAGTGTGGGATGGGAGGCCACAGAATCCCAGTTCAGCTCTGACCAAAAGCTTCCGTGGGCCCAACCCATGGCAGCCCCCACTTGGAAGGGGGCCTTGTCTGATGGAAACATGGATGGGTCTGTATTTCATGCCCCCACTGGACCACTCGCAACAGCAGAGGCCCAGCCAAGGCTGGGGAGCTGGAGGGAATGGGGGAGAGGCTTAAGTGCTCTCACCCCTAGCCCTGCTATCACCAGGATCCCTGCCCATGTTAGAAGATAGCAGCCTGGGCAGGAGGGGGTATAGTGGGTGAGGCAGAGGTATGCTTGGCTGCAGGCTGTGCCTGGGGGTCACCAGGGGTGGTCTCCTGCACCTCTGCCACACCCTGTGGGCCCAGTAGTGCAGGCTAGTGTCCATGTTGACCCATTGGACTGCTGTCCCTCACCCACACCTCCCCTCTATGACGACCTCCAGTCCACCAAGGGCAGAGACCAGAGAGGCATGGAGGGAGCTATGCACCAGGAATCCAGAAGACCCCTCAGCTCCAGTTCTGCGCCTCCCACTTGACTGAACCTATGTCTGGGGCCTATCTACTTACAGAGTCCAGTGTGCCCCTCTGTGTCTGCATCATCCCAGGAACCCTAGTTGATCTCTACCCCCTGCAAGTTCAGAAGCCAGAGGGGGCCACATCATGAGAAACCCAGGCTTCTCCACCACACGCTTGCACACCTACCCCTTGCCCCTTGGCTGGGGGAGACTGGCAGGTACTGGAGGTGTGAGCAGCCTTGGCCCCCAGGGAGCAGGTCAGGCCTGACAGCAGGCCCACCCTGCTGCTGCAGCCTCAGAAGCCCGAGCCAGGCTCTTGGAGGGATCAACCTGGTGCAGCCAGGGCAGAGCAAGGCATGCAGTCCACGTCCCAAGCCCGGAAGGGGCCACGCTGAGGGCCCCCAGGGTATCACTAGCCAGAGACCACTAGCTGGCCGAGGGGTGGACACTTCTGGCCCCAGGGCTCCACACTTGGCAGCAGATGCATTTTCTCTGCCTTGGCCCCAGCCAGGCAACTTCCCATGCAGGCCTGCGGGGCTTTCAGGATCCAACTCTTAGGGCACAAATAGGACTTCGTGTTTCCTCCGGGGTCACTGGGTTTATTAGTTTCCTATTGCTGCTGTAACAAATGGCCACCAACTGACAGCTTAAAAGACACTTAAAACTGACAGCTTAAAAGACAGTTCAGAGGCTGGTTCCAGAGGCTAAGAGCGCCACCCGGGGCTGCGAGCTTGTGGCTCGATGTTCCTTTTTTTTTTTTTAAGATTTATTTATGTATGCATTCAGGAGCTGGGGTACAGGCCAGAGGTGGGGGGGGGGGGGTGGGGGGGTGAGAGGATTCACCAGAGACAGAGCGGGGAGCAGCACAGGCGGGCTGCCTGAAAGACGCGGCGCAGTGACCTCTCCTGTGGCGCCCGCTGCTCCCCTCGCTGCTCCCTGCACTGCTTGTCCCACGGCCGACTCTCCGGGAGGCAGTGACCTGAAATTTCCCGACGCCATGAAAACCAAGCGGCTCAGATTTCGCCCACCCGGAGGCAGCGGGAAGTCGGAGTCCCGGGACGCCCGGCCCAGCTTCTCCGGGCAGCCCCGCGAGGCGGGCGGCAGGGGGCGCAGCTCCACTGTGAGGCAGCGCGTGGGCGGGGCCCGGAGCGGGCGGGGCCGGGGCGGGGCTCCGGCGGGCGTGGGCGGGGCTCTGTCGGACGGGGCGGGGCCGGGGCGGGGCTCCGGCGGGCGTGGGCGGGGCTCTGTCGGACGGGGCGGGGCCGGGGCGGGGCTCCGGCGGGCGTGGGCGGGGCTCTGTCGGGCGGGGCGGGGCCCGGCGTCGCACCGCCCGGCCCGCCCTTCCGGCTCCGGCTTCCACCCGCCGCCTCCACCTGGCGCCGGCTGCGGGCGCGACGGTCGCCGCGTTCCACCGCCGCGAGGCCCTGGCGGCGCCCGAGCCCGCGATGTCGGGCCCCAACGGGGACCTGGGCGTGCCGGTGGAGGCGGGCGCGGAGGGCGAGGACGACGGCTTCGGGGAAGCAGGTGACCCGGCGGAGCTGGAGCGACCTTTCCTTTCTCGGGGTGCCCTCCTGGGAAGGGGAGGCGGGGCCGGGGCGGAGTCTTGGAGGTGCCGCAGAGGCCCTTCCAGCCCCCCACTCCCGAGTGGGTCGCGAGCTGCGGACGCCCTCTCGGGGCGCAGGACGCGCACCCTGCGAGCCGCAGCGCTTGAGACCTCGGGGCACCGGCCCTGATGCACAGGTGGGGCCGCCCAGGCTGCGGGAGACGCCGGCCCTGGCGGGATCCGCTCCAGCCTCTTCCTGGGGCCCCAGGCGGACCGGGACGCTGAGGGGGCGGGGCCGGTCTCGGTTTAACTGGGGGCTCTGGGGGGGGCCCGCTGCCCTGCTGAGTCAGCACCCAGCCACCTTTGCCAGTGTGGGCCTGGCACCTTGGCCAGCGTGACTCGCTTCTAAAGCTGCCCGGTGCCGTCCCGCACTCCAGCATTGGGGTGGGGTAGCTTTGGGGGGAAGGATTGCGGGGAGGGAGAGGGCTTGGGGGGTGTCTACCATCTAGCTTTTCACCTTCCTCCCTCGGTTTTCCCACCTGTGAATAATTAGTTTTTCCTGCATTGAGAGTAAATGAGAAAACGAATGGAAAATTACAAAGATGCAAACGTTCAGTAAGTGGTCATTCTCTTTAGTGTAATAAAGATGGTTTATTAACTTAGAGGACAGGATTTAGCAAATCCTGGGTAGGTATGAAACCCGCTTTTTGTTTGGTTTTGGGGTCTTACTAAACTAGAATTCGTACACTGTACAGTTTGCTCACTGAAATTTATACGTCCGGCGGGTTCTGGGATATTCATAGGGCTCTGCACCCACCGCAAAGTTTTACACTTTTGTTTTGCAGGGTCTGTGGGTCAGTGGTAGCTGGCTGGCTTGCCCTGGACTCTGCTGGTGAACAGAGGTGGGCAGCAGCCATGGTGGAATCAGGCAGCACCTCTCTGGGTCACACTGAGTGGGCAGCCCAGTCGGCAGATTCAGGGCAGCACAGTAGGGAGGAGGGTGTCCCTGGCAGAAGACAAAGGCTTAGAACTGGCCGGTGCCCTTGACACAGATGAAGGCTGGCCCCATGGCATGGACACACCCCCCAGCCTCAAGTATTAGGATATTGGCCTCAGGTATTAGGTATAGAGGCCTGCCTCCTTCATCCTCCATGTGTGTCTCATGACACCGGCTGTGAGCTATTGGTTATAATGACCATCTATTAAGTAATTGTGTGGCCAGACCCTGAGTTCTTGATATATTTGAATCTTCCCAGCAACCTAGTTGATATCCTGTTTCCAGAAAGGTGCAGGAATTTGCTGAGACGGAGCAGAGCTGGGACTGAGATCCAGATGCCTCTCTGCTTGCCATGTCCTTGTCCAACCAGCTGGACCGCCCTTCACAGGCCCCTTCCCTCTTGGACCTCACTTTCCCCATCTGTACCACAGAATTAGGGTGCCAATTCTGGGCATGGGTGCTCTTCCCCCAGAATGCAGACACATTTGCACCCAAATCCCAGGCCCTTCCCCCAGGCCAGCTGCTTCCTCTTTGGTCCCATGCTAGCCGGCCGCTCGCTGAATGTGTCTGAGTCATGGACTGGCTCAGAACCAGGTCCTGCAGTGGGCATGGGCCCAGACCTTGGGTCCTAAGAGACACTGTATTACTAAGAGGAGGACAACCATGGGGGAGGGAGGGATGGTTTCTTCTGGTGGATACCAAGGCAGACTTCTTGGAAGAGGAGGCATTTTGAGCTGGTCCTTGGATCACTGATGTGGTTGAGGCATTCTGTGTGGCAGGGACAATTGAGCACAAAGAGGGCTGGAAAGTCAGAGGTTTCATTCATTCATCCATTCATTTGTTCAACAAATGCTTATTGTGTGAAAGTGAGGACACTGGGGAAAGAGCAGTGAAGACAGACCATTCTCCCTCCACGGAGCTTTAGACTCCGGTGGAGGGGCAGGCCAGCACACAGTAATCACAGCAGTCAGTCCGGAAGTGAGGGCCGTGGAGGTGTGAGGAGGGCAAGGGTATTAGGAACAGAGGCCGGCCGGCCGGCTCTGGGAGGGCTGCCTGCGGACATCCATGCTGAGGCTTGAAGGATAAGTGGGAGGAGCGGATGGAAGGAGACAGGAGGAGGACGCGGCGCATCCCACGAAGAGGCGCCAGCATGTTCAGGGGGCCTGAGGTGGACAAAGGCAGGTGTGAGAGGACAGGCAAGGCCTGGGGGTGGGACTCCAGATGGAAGCAAGACCTTGGAGCCTGCTGGGTGCATCTCCTTGAGGGCACAGGAGCCAGAGAGGCTGGGGTGGGCCTGCCTGGGGACTCAGGCACTCTAGTGGGCTCTGCTCTGGCCTCTACGCAGCTGAAGGAAGTGGAGACTTGGCACCAGGCTTGGCACCAGTCACCTCCTAACCCCAGAAAAAAGGCATTATTTCTCCAAAACCTTTCCTCTTTCGGTGTCCCACCCATTTTTGAGAGGCTCGGAACTTGCCCAAAGCCCCTTTAGAGGCAGGCTGGGGGACCATGGTGTTGATTGGAAGAATGGGAGTCTGTGAGCCCCAAAGGGGCCTGGGACCTTGACTGTCTGTCCCTTTCCCCCCAGAATACGCTGCCATCAATTCCATGTTGGACCAGATCAACTCCTGTCTAGACCACCTGGAGGAGAAGAATGACCACCTCCACGCCCGCCTCCAGGAGCTGCTCGAGTCCAACCGGCAGGCGCGCCTGGAGTTCCAGCAGCAGCTAGGGGAGGCCCCCAGCGATGCCGGCCCCTAGGCCCGCGAGCCCCCCGCCCCGCCTCCCGGGGTCAGACCATGGCCTGAGCCCTACCACCCAGCTCAGATACCTTCTCCAGGGCAGCCACTGGGTCCCCCGGTGGGCCTGTCTGCGTGGCCACCCTCTGACACGCCCCTGCCTGGGCCAGCGCCCATCATCCAGCATCTCCTGGGGCCAGGGGCGGACCTGCAACCCACCTGCCTTGCCTGTCTGCCGAGTCCTGGGCACTCCCCACTCTGCCCAGGCTTTAAGTGCCCACATTAAACCGGCCTCCAACACCACTTCACCTCTGTCCTCTGTATCTTGGGAGAAGGACTCCAGTGCCCGCCAGAGGGGAACCGGCCGTCACTCACCTGCGGCTCACGGCCTAGTGGTGGGGCTGGCAAGGCTCCCACCTACCTGTCGTATCCCCAGCCTGGCTGAGCTCCCAGCGTGCTGTGAGTGAGGACATGCTCCCCTCTCTGGGTACTAGGTTTTCACTTTAGTACCGAGACGTGCTGTGCAACCTGGGCAGTGCCCTCCTGCTCGTGGCCTCAGTCTCCCCAGCCGGCCAGTCACAGGCCTGGTCTGGTGGGCTGTCTCTTAGGGTGCTTCCAGATGAGGAAATAGCAGAAGTAAAGAGCTGAGTGAGCCTGGGCTGCATTCCCAGCGATTCATCATGGTTGCCTGACGAGAAGGGCAGGCACCCCATTAGTGAACCCAGCACAGAATCAGGCCAGAGCCGAGGGCCCCTTTGTACTTGTTTCCATGGGGTCCAGCTGGAGAGGCCAGCACCCGGGTTCAGAGCCTGCGCCCTAGGTCATCCTGGCCACTTAACCAGATGTATGATCTTTGCAGGCTACTTGACGGTACCAGACCTCAGTTTCATCTGTAACTTGGGGATAGCAACCAAGACGTACCCCCAGGCACTGTGAAGATTAAATGAGATCTGACTTGAAGGTACTTTCCCAGCCTGGATACATAGAGAGAAATGGGCTCAGAGGTGAAGCGCCCTGGGATCCCCGAGCACACTTGGGGAGACTGTCTTTGGTGGCCTGATTCTGCACCACACTGAACCCCAGCAGGCCGGACCCCTTCCCTATCACCCAGACAAAAGTGCTGGTGGGGCCTGGCACAGCCAAACCACCTTTTTTTATTGGATTTCGAGTAAAAATACCAACCATCTCAGTTGCCAAGGCTCTTAGGACCCACAGCAGGCCTGGCCCCAGCCAGGGGGGAGCGCCCACTATCAGTTTCTGCGGCGTGTTGAGCGCCGGGGGGGTGGGGGCTCAGGGGGTGGGGCCGTCACCTTGCTGGGGGTTTTGGCCGAGTCCTGGGTGCTGGGATGGCTGGGTGGGCGGCCACCAGAGGTGAACAGGGCAGTCAAGGCGTTCCGGGCGTTGATGGCACACCGACGGCTCACGGGCCTGGTGGTGGGGCAGGGGTTCTTGGCCTTCTTGTATTTCTGGACACAGAGGGTGCAGGTGAAGCAGAGCTTCCTCCTTACCTATCTTGCATTCCCAGCCAGCAGCTGCCTTCCCAGCCAGGCTGAGCAGCATCCAACATGCTGTGTGACCCTGGGTGATGTGCTCAGCCTCTCTGGGCCAGAGCTCTGGCCCTCAGCACCTTCCAGCCCCACCCAGCTCTGATTCCCTTTGTGGTCAAGGCCTCCCTGTTTGGGCATAAGGGGGCATTCCCTGGGTTAGGGGAGCATGGGGAGGGGAGTGAAGGGTGAAGCCAAGCACAGGCAGGAGGTGGCACTGGCCATGGTGCTGTGAGTCCCCAGGGCAGGGTGGGGGGCCTGGCTCACCTGCAGGTTCTCAAAGTGGGCCAAGGTCTTGCAGTGGGAGAGCTGCGCCCCTGAGTTGCTGTGGTAGAACTTGTGGCAGATGCAGCACATGTAGCCCATCACGGGCACCAGGAAATCCACACCTGTGGGATGGCAGGGTCTGTCCTCACACCATCTGCCCAGTCAGCCAGGAATCCCACCCTGGAGGGGACCCTTGGCTCCCCCATCTTCTCGGCAGGAGAAGAGGATGAGGGGCTAGGCTGGAACTGGGGGGCCTGGAGGCTGGAGCCACATCGCTGGGTCAGGCCAGGCACTTACCATAGGCGGTATCGGGGCTGTAGGTCTCCGATTCTTTCCACTCCTCTATGGAAATGTCTCTGAACCTCACCTGGGAACATACAAGTGTGGGCCTCAAGGCAGCCACCACCTCCCCAACCCAGGTGGGGGGCCTGGAACCCACCCAAATTCTTGAGCACAACAGCCGTTAGATTCCCGAAGGTTGTGGGTAGCATTCTCTGAGCCTTTGCACACTCTGATCCTGCCTCCCAGAGTTCCTTTCCCAATATATACTTTCTAGGCTTAGTTCCATCAGTCCCCACCTCCAGGAAGCCCTCTTGCTCCCTCCCTCTTTACAGTGGCCGTAATCCACACCAGGTGTGCCCACACTATCATCTACTGAAGCCTGTTAACAACCCTCTGTGACCCACTCATTTTACAGAAGAGGATACAGGCCCAGGGTCACACAGCTGCTTTGTGGAGGACTGAACCCTCCCCACGGTCAACCGTAAGCCCCTAAGTTCCAACCTGATACTGCAGGTCCTCGGCCCAGGGAGTCAGATTCACCCACTGGAAGTAAGCCCTTCCAGACGAGGTCCTGCGGCCCCAGCCACATCAGCCTGCCTGCCCGGCAGTGCCCTCCACCACTCAGCAGGCAAACAAATGAGCTTCTAGGAAGGCTACCACCCCAACTCCCACACCGGGCTGCAGCGTTGCCTCGCAGCCCGACCTGGAACTGTCAGAGCTGGGCAGAGGAAACAGACTGAGAGGCACCCTGGGAGGCAGGAGCAGCATGTGCAAAGGCTCAGAGGAGGCTACCCACAGAGAATGCTCCTGGAAAGCAAAAGGCTGGTGTGTTCCAGGGCTTGCCCAACCTATGCCACAGCCAAGATCTGCATCGCTTATGCCTGGCTCCCCGCACAGCGGCACCCTCGGCACCCTGGGCGGGGACAGCTGAGCATCCCTGGGACCCAGCATCGCGACCTGGCCTTAAACAGGTGCTTGGGAAACTGGCTAAACTGAAAAGAGCCCCAGGAGTGGCTGGGGCACCCTGAATGGAACGAGTCTCCCTTCCTGGCATCCGAGTCGACGAGCCTCTGCCAGCAAAGTGCTGGGCACACGCCGGGCATATGGTAAGGCTCCGAAAAGATGGGCTGCACTTGCGGCCACCATCACCATCCAATACTGACTTTTTCTGTGCACAACACGTCGTGCCCACCTCCCTGGTCATTGTGGTGTCCGCGTGACCCAGAACACGGTCACGGGAATGTAGTGCGGGGTGTGTGCACAGTGCCCCCTGCCCGGGGTGGGGCGAGGCGCCTCCTGGGGTGGGAGTCCAGCCTGCAGCCTCCCGCCGCTCCCCACCCTCGCTGCACCTTTTTGCAGAATTCCTTTTCCACCTCGATCTCCTCCTCTTCCTCGTCCTCCTCCTCATCTTCGTCACCCTCAAAGCAGCCCACAGCGTCCACAGTGATGAAGTGGTCCTCGTCTTGGCCGGCTATCTCCTTCTCCAGCATCTTCAGTTGCCCAGGGGCGTGGGCGTGGGTGAGGACTAGGTCAGCCCTGGAGCAGCCAGGGTGCCACACCCTAGCCACACTGCACCCCCAGAGACTCAAACCCCCAGACCTTCTAAGAGTCAGGCTGGGGTAAACCTCAACTTGCTCTGGGTCTGCATCCTAAGGGCTGGGGTTACCTCCTTGGCTTTGTCCTTGTGCCCCTGGGACTTCACGTGCTCCACAAACTTGCGGGGTGTCTTGAAGTAACGGTTGCAAGCGGTGCAGAAAGGTCGCAGGGATTGTTTGGCCATCTGGGTGGTTGGAGGCGGGCCAAGTGAGCGGCAGGCAGCAGCCCCTCGAGACCCTGCCTCCCACATGCAGATCCCCCACTTCTCATCAGCTGGCAGTACCCCACCTCTGTGTGTATTTGGGCAAACATCCCCTCCCTGTGCTGCTGGCTACAAGACAGGCCAGCAGGTGACCACAGAGACAGAGAGAGGGTGGCCTCCAAGAGGACCCTGAGCCCGCAGCTAAATGGCCAGCCGATGTGGTGCCTGGCCCACCCTGGTCAGCTGGGGAAGCTGGAACCCAGAGGAAAAACATGGAGAGGCCGCACTTATGAGTGACGGCCACGCAGAGACAAAACCTCACACAGATGCCCACTCCCACCTGGCTCCCGCCTTCCTGGCCCCCACTTGGTGATCACGCGTGTGGGGCCTCTGTGGCTCGGGGCCCTTGTACCTTGTGGTCCGGCGTCCTGCGGTGCTGGATCAGGTCCCCCACGTAGTAAACCTGGCAGGTGTTGCACCAGCGCCTGGGCGGAGGCTCTCTGCGGGGCGACAAGTGAAACACACACAGGGTGACACCGCATTCTGTGGGGGAGCCCTGGCCCTGCTGGGTACTCCAGAGGGATCATGGAATTCCAGCACCACATTCAACAAAGTCTTTTTTAGAAAACTGACAAAGTGGGGCCTCCCTGGTGGCGCAAGGGGTTAAGCACTGCACTATGAAGCAATCCGCAGCCTCTGCAGCACGGTTCGATCCCCGGCCGGCCAGGGAGCAACCCACATGGCACAGCAGACCTCTCCTGCCTCCCCGCTGCTCCCCTCAGCAGTGCATTTCAGTAGATCTGCCTGTTCTGCTCCCCGCTCTGTCTCTGGTGAATCCTCTCACCCCCACACCTCTGGCCTGTACCCCAGCTCTTGTATGCATAAATAATCTTTAAAAAAAAAAAAAACTGACAGTGGCTAAGAATTCTTGAACATGAATAGCCCAGACCATACTGCGAAGGGTGTGAAGAGACCTCTGAGGGAGGACGAGCCAGATGGGAGATTCAGGGTCCCCTTGCACCTGCCTGACCAGACTCCCCCCTCAACACCCCTCCCTACACACGTGGAGCGTCCATTTCTCCACTCACTCGTCCTCTCTCTCCAGGACGTCACGGGGCACGGGCAGCAGGGCCAGGAGGCAGGCTTGGCTCATGTGCTGGAGCTCGCCAAGCCGTTGCTGGTGCCGCGCCTCCACCATGTGGTCCTGGAACTCCTGCAGTGGGGGGGTGGGGAGGGCAGGGCTGGTTCAACCAGGTCCACCTGCCTCTCAAGTCCTGCCTACTGGCCGGTCAGGAAAGGCTTTCCGAGCAAACGCACAGCCGCCAGACCCGTGGCTTGAGGGGGCCCCGTCAGGCAACCAGGCTGGAAAGTCCTTGCAGACCCCAAACCCTCCCACTTGTCCCCCACCAACCTCTGCCCCAGGCCAGCCTGCCCTACCTGCTGACTGCTGTAGCTGGCTCTGCAGATGTAGCAGAAAAACTGCAGTGTTTGCTTTGAAGGTATGCTGGCAGCAGCGGGGGTGGCAGAGGTAGTGTCGCTGGCTCGGGGCCCGGGTGTGAGGGGCATGGTGCTAAAGGCCCGGCTGTCACTGCTCTGCAAGATGGTGACCTTCAGGGAGCCCCCGGCACCCCACACCTGCACCAGGAGCAGAGCCAAAGCTACCACCAGCTGGGCGCTCCCAGCGGGCCAGCCCTGTCTCATCAGGTACTTACAGATGGAGATCCCAAGGCTCTGAGCCTCACACAGCCAGGAAGCACTAGGCAGGCCCCACCCTACCCTGCCCCACCCCGCCCCACCCCAACATGACTGCTAGAGAAACTGAGGCGCAAAGAAAGGACAGATTTAGCCACGATGACACTTTGGGACCCACACCCACAGGCTTCCACCCGGGCCCCTCCACTAGAGCACTGTTACCTGTGTGAGGGAACCAGGCCCTAGTTTTGGGATGAGCAGGTTGGAAGGGGCACTTGTGACCTGAAATACCTCCAGGTATTCTGAGTGAAGGCAACACACCACGGGGAGGGTGCCGAGCACACTCAAACCCTGTCTGGTGGCCCATGCACACAGGTGGGGCATCCCATCTCAAGGAAGCCCTGAGAGGGCCTGGGGCAGTGTTGCTGGGGGTGTGGTCCTCATGCTGCCACCCGGACAACTCTACCCACCCCTAGCATCTCTCTTGATCTTTTTTCACATTCTCCCACATCCAGGCCACTGGCCAACTCCTCCTGGCTCTCCTCTGTGCCCACAGGCTCCGGCGAGTCTTCCTCCAGGCCTGAAATGATAGATGGGCGGTTCCCCAGGTCCCAACTTCTACCTGGGTTCAGCGTGACCCACACCTGAGAGCCATCTTCCCGTCCACGGCCAGGACCTGGAAGCCTAAGGCGAGGATACCTGAACCCTGGCTCCGGGCAGCATCCAGTCGAGGCTGGACAGCACAGGTGAGGACGCGGGCCCGGCAGAGCTGTCCCCCTGGGCCGCTGTGGGCCGGTGCCTGCTTACCTCCTGCAGCTGCTCCCGTGTCAGGCGGCATCTCAGGCACCATGGGAGGAACTGGTGCTTGCTCGGGCGCCAATCCCTGAGCCTGGGTCCGAGGCTGCCCCTGGGTCTGCTCTGGTGGCTGCGCTGGCAACGGCGTGGGAGCTGGCTCCAAGAGCTGCCGCGTGGGCTGTGCGTGTGTCTGGGCCTGTGGATACGTCTGCGTCTGTGCCTGCTTCTGCAGCTGCAGCTGCGCCTGCCTTGGGGGCTGGGAGTGTGCCTGTGGCTGCACCTGCTTCGGTGGCTCTGCCTCCTTCTGCGGCCGTGTCTGCTGTGGCGCTACGTGTTCCGGGGTGGTCTGCGTCTGTGCCTGCTTCTGCAGCCTCAGCGGCACTGTCTGTGGCGGGGCCTGTGGCTGCACCGGGGCCTGGATGTGCAGCGCACATGGCTGGAATTGTGGCAGCACTCGGGCCTCCGGCGGCTCAGATGGCAGCTCATGTGTCTGGGTCTGCTTCGGTGCTGTCATCCGTGCCTGAGGCTGTACCTTGGCCTGCAGCTGCCCTAGGGTCCCCTTCTCTGTGGGCTCCTCTGAGCTAGGGAGGATCAGAAGCTCAAATTCATGTCTTCCAACTGGCCCTGGGGGTTGCCCAGAAAGGCCAAGACGCAACTTCCAGCCCTAGCCCTACCACGTAGGACTGAGCATTTGGGCAAGTGCCTTTGGCTCCCCAGGTCCTGCTTTCATTTAAATAAGTTGAGAGGATCACTCACTTCTGCCTCCCACACTTCTAAGCCTGTATCCACGGCCCTGTAGTCCTGCCCAGCCGGGGGGGCCCCAGAAGCACACGTTCTCCTCCAACCTGGCCCCTTGCCCGCCTGCTGGGGCCTCAGTCACAGTGAAGACACCAGAGTCTGTCTGGCCGGGGCCTTCCCAGGGACAGATTTAGATGTGACCTTCCTCCAGGCCAGAGATCAAGGTCCTTCTATCACTCAGCTCCCCTAAAGGGGCTTGCCCCTACCTCCACCCACCGCCTGCCTTGGCAGGCATGAGCTACGGGCCTGGCAGGCTTTCAGCATCAGTTACCTCTTTGACTTCTTAGCCAGGGGCTCAGAGGCCTCACAGGACTCAGGCTCAGGGGTTGGTGTGCGTTTCTCCTTAGAGGAGCCATCTGGGCAGAGCTGGAAATCTTGGTCTGGAACGAAGGGCAGCTGAGGGATCTTGGACACTGTCCAGCAAACCCAAGCTCCCCTCCCCGAGTCACCAAGCCCAGCTTTGCCTCCGTCACAACCCTGCACCCACCAGCCCCCACCCTCGTCCCCTTTGAAGGACCAGCAGCCTCCCTCCCTTACCTGGAGTGTCTGTTCGGGACTCTGTGGCTTCTTCAGACCCCTCTGGGGGGTCTGACTGGTCTTCAGACACCGTCTGAGAAGAAGAATCCTGCTTCCAGTCAGAAACTGTTCTTGACATCCACCGCCCACCCCGTGAGCAACCCCCGGCAAGCATGGCTGCCGCTGTCCCCCGGCAGGTAAAGGGCCTGGCCCTGAGCTACCGAGATGGTCCTCACCAGGCCAGGGATCATGTCTAGGGGACTTCAGCAGCTGCCTGGGTGAGAGCAAACCAGGACTGGGAACACAGACCCTGAGTGTGGCCTCCTGACTTCCCAGCCAGAGGAGCCCTTCATGCAAAACTGATCCTCTTTTCTCTAGATCAGAACAAAACAGTCCTGTGACTTCTCCTAGCCTGGGGCATGCCCTCCTCACCACCCTAAGTACCCCCTCGCACACCAGTATGCTCTCCTCACCCCAAATGCCTGCTCATCATCCCAGGCATCCCTCCTTACCCCAAGCACCCTACCCCACGCTTGGCTTCAGCCCCTCCCTGGCCCTCTCTGCTAGTCCATACTACCTCTCTGTGCCCAGAGCCCCAGACCACCTCCTGCCTGAGGTCTCTGCCCAGAGCCTCAAAAGCACTTCTTGAGGATACCCCCTTGGCCCCAGAGAAGGTCAAGTCCCCTAGCACAGGTCCCCAGAGTGCCTTGGGCTTCCTTTTTGTGGCATTTTCTAGTTGTAATTATTGGTTAGACTTGTATTTGCATCAATGTCTCTCACCACCCCCTCCCCAGCCCAAGAGCCCCAGCAGGCCAGGCCAGATGTGTCATCTGCACCTCTGCAGGGACGTACAGCTGTCTGCTAAGTAAACTCGGAGTTCTGAGCACCCCAGGAAGCGCGGGAGCTGACTGGCAGCCTTCCCCACCCCCCAGCTAAGCCCAAGCAGGAAGGTGCACACTCAGGACTCTGCACCCTCCAGAAACCACCCGGCCTCGCCCTGCAGGTCAGGAGGCTCGACTCCGCCTCTATCCCTCCCGGCCTCAGCTTTCCTGTGTATAAAATGGGGGCGGTGATGGCCAGCTCGCCTAGCCACGTCCAGACAGACCTGACTGGACAAGCAGAAGCCAAGACTCCTCTCCGGAGGGACTGGCCGCCGGATGTGGGTTGCCCAGAGTAGCAGGAAAGGGGTCCTGCCCCTGCCACAGAATGCTGCTGTGGGCCTGGTGTGCAGGCAGCAGCAGGAAGTTCAGGGACCAGATGTCCCAGGGGCAGACTGTTCCCTTTGCGAGTCTCTTGGACTCTTTCTGCTGATGTCAGGGAGAGCCCCTCAGGGACGTGGGGGCCAGGGTGCAGGCCCAGAGGCCAGATGGCCAGAGTTCAGAGTTCCTGGTCTGATAACATTGCTCGACCCCGATAACCTTCCTCTGACTTCTATGTCTGTAGCTCACTTAGACTGTTTTTTAAATTTTCAGGTGTGATAGATTGTCTCCTTATTAAATAACTGTAATGGAGAAGCCAGTTTACGGAAGAGGGCATTACAGTGACCAGTCGCACACACAGCTTTTGAGCACATTAGTGTGGCCACTCATCCAGAGGGTTGTAAGGACGCAGTATAAGAAAGAGCCCTGCTCTGCTTTTATATGTTGAGTTAAATAAAATGTTAGTAAAACAAATTTCACCCGTTTCTTTTTATTGCGCTGGTGTGGTTACTAGGCAAACGATAATTACATTTACAACTCTCATTTTACTGTTCTCGTTTAAAGAGAAATATTAGGTGAATTTTAGCGCCGTAGTAGATTGAGGCAAAAATTATGGCAGGAGGGCAGGGATATTTGAAGTTTGGGAGACACGACATACCAAATCCAACTCACCGCTCCCGTTTTACAGATGAGGAAACTGAGGTGCAAAGAGGGGGTGTGGCCTGAGCAGGGATGCCCCCCCCCCCAGCTCCACCTTAGACACCACTCACCTTGCGATTGAGGGTGGTAGAGGAGGGAATCCTGGCTTGCTTCTGGAGGGTCCTCCCTGAGAGGTTGATCAGGGAGGGGTTTATGGGGACACCGACAGGAGGGGGTCCCAGCAGGGACTGCTGGGTGGCCTGGGGAAAGAACTGTTGTAGATGTGGGGTGGTCAGCTGGGGGGGTGTGAGGCTGGGGGTGGTCAGGGTTGGGGTTGCCAGGTTGTAGCCACGGAGGTTACCTGTGGGCAAGAAAAGGAGAAAATGGATCACTCTTGGGTTGAGCCCCCCAGTGCATCATGGGAACGGCACAAATAACTTTCAAGGGAAGCCTGAGTCAAAGCTCAGTCCCGCCCACCTTGCACACTGGTGGGGAGGAGGCTCCAGGGGAAAGGGCACTGCTTTTCCCTCCTCAGATTCCTACCTGGTCAGCAGCTTGAGAACCCTGTTCACCCTCCAGCATGCCCGAGGGTATGGCTTAAGGTACAGGAACAATCCCAGCACAGAACCCACAGAGAGAGGCAGCGAGATAAGACACCCCCCCCAACCCCCAGCTGCCCTTCACCACGTCTCCTCAGGAGCCAGGCCCTTGGCCCAGCATCATCAGGGGGAGAATCATCGTCACCTCTGATGACAAAATAGAGACGCAAAGAGGAGGGGTCCCTTGTCTCGGGTCTCTGGGGAGGGCACTGTCCCCAGCCAGGACTGCAGGGTTCTCCTGACTCCTCTCTTTACTCTCCCTCAAGTCATCACCAAACCTTATCAAGCCTGTCTCCTGCCCCTCTGACCCCCCTTTTCTATCCCCACTCTGCTCCCTGTCCCTGCTTTCATAGCTCCCTGCTACTCACTGCTCAGAAACTGAGCACCCCCCACCCCCACCTTCGTTTCTCCTGTCACAAGCTTCTGTGAGTTGCTTAAACAGACCGAGTTTCCTTCTGCCTCTGGGCCTTTGCACATGCTGTTTTTCCTGCCTGGGCTGTTCTGCCTCCCACTGGTTCTGCCTCCAAATTGTGTTCAATCCTTCCTTGGCATAATCTCCTCCCAGAGCCCTCTGTGATCTCGGAGGTCACAGCCCCCTGTCCTGTCAGAGCTGCAGTTTCCTTGTCCACTGCCTACCACCCAACGACACCGGGATCTCCTTAAGGGCAGGCACCAGCTCTTGCCAAGTGTTTGAGCTGAAACAGTTCAAGTCCTGCTCCAATGGTGGGGTGGGGAGCCCAGGGATTAAGCGCAGATGTCAGGTCAGGTGTGCTGCGAGAGCCGGTTCAAAGCCAGACTGTACTACAGACAAGAGACCTGGAACAAATCAGTTCCGCCTTCTTAGTCTCAGTTCCCACATGTGTAAAATAGGCAGAACAGTGCGTGTTTTATGAGGATTCAGTGAGACACATAAGTGTGCCTGGTACATAGTAAATGTTCAATTAACATTAATGGAAAATAAATATATGTGCACATACGGGCAGAGAGCATGCCAATCAGCTCTTAAAAACAGTAAGGCAAAAGATGGCACACCCTAAAAGAAAAATGGACAAAGGACATGGACAGGTCACACGCACAAAAAAGCACCAAAAAACAAATGTTTAACAGACAAATACAAAATATTCACTTGTACTGGCACTCCAAGGAACGTAAACTAACACATCAATGATATAGCTTTTTCTGCCAACCAAATTAGTAAATTATATGCATACGTAAACATATATATATATTTAAAAAAGCATATAATACCCAATGTTGCCGTGGGCATGGTGAGACCCGCACTGTCATACGTGGCTGGTGGCATTGCAGACTGGTCCAGTCCTTTGGGAAAGTAATTTGGTAGATATTTATTGAGAGCCATAAAACATTTGTCCCCCCTGATCCAGTCACTCTATTTTTGGGAAAAAATGATCATAAAATAGTCTCAACATGAGATCTACTGCAGTGTTAAAACAGAAGAAAAAGGAAAACACGGAAATCTAGGTAGGCAAGAGCAGGCCCTTCAATTGGATCTTAAATGGCTGTTAAAAATAACCTTTACAGAGGGGCCTCCCTGGTGGCATAGGGGGTTAATTCTCAGCTGGTGGTGTAGGGGGTTAAGTAAGTCTCAGTGCTATCACCGCTGTGGCCTGATTTTGATCCCCGGCCAGGGAGCTGACCCACAGGGCGCAGACCTCTCCTGTCTCATCTGCTGCTCCCCTCAGCAGAGTATTTCCTCTCACTCCCCACACCTCTGGCCTACACCCCAGTTCTTGTATGCATAAAAAAAAATAACCCTTTACAGAGACTCTCAGATCATATGTGAAAGGTCCATGCAGGGGGCCGGAATGCAAAAGCCTATTGGGAAGCCCACCTGGGGGGCAGGAATGCGGATACCTGCCTGGAGGACTCCAGGGAAAAACAGGGCGGATGCAAGGGCTTTTGCTCTCACAACTGACTCTGCTGCAGACCCTTCCCCTATTCTCTATCAGTCCCCTCCATCACTCGGACTTAGGAGCCTCATGAGCGCCAATTCCTGAGTCTTCTCTTCTTCCACCCCTCCTTGAGTGCAAAAGTCTGACAAATATGTTCCTGTCGTCAAACCTATGCTTGCATGTCACCTCAAAGGGGAGTTCGCCTACCCTCTTTTGCAGCTCACCAACTGCGTGGACACCTACGGGGACAGGATTGACCTCTCCCTACTCAGCCAACTGCTCCAGGAACACACAGACCGGTACTTACCCAGTCCTGCCTCGGATCTCGACCCCCTCAACCAACCTTCCCTACCACTACATCCAGGAGACCAAGTCCTGCTCAAATCGCTTCAGCCAAAGCCATTGCAGCCTCGGTGGACCGGCCCACGCACGGTTATTCTCACCACACCTACAGCGGTAACACTTCTGGGACACCCCTCCTGGCACCATCTATCACGGGTCAAACGTGCCCCTGAAGACAAACAGTATGTATGTTATAACCTGGCTCCTACTAGAATGTACATTTCTTGTCAAAATCTCCCCTAGCTCAGTGTCCTGTGTATGGAAATTCAAAGTTATGGAGACCTTTGTCTCAGGATCCACTGAGACCACCCACTAGGTGGGTACTGCGGAGTGCCCACAGGCAGGATGCACAGCACCCATCACTCTCACCCTAACTCTTTCATCGATTAATAACCCTATAAATACCTTGTTTTGTTTCTTTACCATCAAACCTTAGATCACTGCAGAAATACCTATGGAGAATATGGGGGGTGCCCTTACCAGTCATGCACAGTGCACCTTCCAGACAAAGGCCAAATGTTCTCTCTGGTCCGTCATAATACGGGCTTCAATATGAGTCAAGTTAGCTCTGCTATTTCAGATCCTTGGGACCAACGTTGGGTACAGGGAGTCCAAGCCGCAGGGTACACTGGCTGGCATTCCTATCCAGTGGCAACACTGTCCATCTCAAGGGAATATGTCCCGACACAAAATGCCACAGTCCAAGTCTCCCAGGACATCCTCCATTCAGAACAAATCCTATAAAATTAGCTAACATCATCAGAAAAGACCGAGACACCCTCAACCTAAATTCATATAATCCAAAACGCTATAACCTTCCTAAATGACTCTTTTGGGACTCACACCTCCTCTTGTTTCCTCTGTGCTTCCCTTCGGAGGCCTCTACTGGCAGCAGGTCCAATTAATCTCAATACCACTGTTAGGGGGAAAAGGATGTCCCAAAGCAAATTCCATACAGGCTTTGTGGACTCCACCCCCACCCCAGGTCAAAGCCAAAGACACTGGGAACTCCAAATCCCATCACCACCAAAGGGAAGGTGGCTGGGACCTGAGGGTGGGGTTAAGCAGCCAGGTGGATACAAAAGGCAGACACGTGGGCTTTGGGGGGCTCCCCCATTTTGGCTGTCCACCAGCTAGCAGCGTCCTGCCAGCTCTGAGAGTGACTTTGGGTTTCCAGGTCGTCGGATCGGGTAGGACGCATTAAAGACTTTATTTCCCTATTTTCTCCCTGAGTTGTACATTTTCCTTATTTCTTTTTCTCTTGTAAATAAACCTTTTATTAACCCTTTTGTGTGTGTCTGTAGTAGAGTATTCATAAGTCCCTTTAAAGCGCGCGGGTGAGGACCCACAGCCAGGAACCCGTTAAATATCGGGGTTGCTCTATAACACCACTACGACCAAGATAACGGACGCTGCTTGCCAGACTCCCCAACTCTCAGTCACCCTATGGGACTCCAATCACAGCTACCCCTGCTATCAAACTGATGCCCTTGTCAGCTTTCATTCCTGTGCTTCTAACATTTCGGTTACTTCTGTGCTCCGAACAACAGCAAAGAGAAACTTTTTCTGGTGCAATGGCTCTCTCTCTCAGTGTATTAATTCTGCTACTCCAGGCCCACGTATCCAAGTCCTCGCGGTCCCACAGTTAGCTCTGTACAGACCACATTGGACTAAGCAGGCAGCCTTTCTTCCAATCATGGTTGGAATCAGCCTGGCATCATCGATAGCAGCTGCAAGTATGGCGGGTGAGGCCCTGGGACACAGCCTGATTTCTGCCCAGGAATTTTATGAACAAATTGATACCTCCTTAGAAAAAACCTATGTGTCTTCAACATCATTAAAAAGACAGCTCACCTCCCTGGCACAGGTCACTCTCCAAAACCGGCGGGCTCTGGACTTGTTAACAGCTAATAAAGGGGGTACCTGCCTGTTCCTCAGGGAAGAATGTTATTACTAGTTAAACCGGGGACTCCAACTCTCCGCTGACATGGTTTCAAAATCCTATAGTGTCATGGCTCCTCCCACTCTTGGGGCCAATACTAATGATAACCTTATTTTTTTCTTTTCGTTCCTTGCCTCCTAAAATTCATACAGGCTCGCATTCGGGAAATGTCTCCTACCACCTTTAACCAACTCCTTCTCCACCCATATTCTCGCATCCCTGCAGAAGACCCTCATAACCAGGCCTGAGCCATCCCCTTGGTCTTCACCCCCTTTCAGCAGGAAGTAGCCAAAGAAAAAACCTTCGCCCCTTTTCCTATCAACAAAAGGCTGGTATGAAAGGTCCATGCAGGGGGCCGGAATGCAAAAGCCTACTGGGAAGCCCACCTGGGGGGCAGGAATGCGGATACCTGCCTGGAGGACTCAGACAATGAGCCTCCCCCCTCCCACTACGAGTCTCGTCTCAGACAAAGAACCTCTACCTGCCCTACAAACTTTTCCTGCCTTAAGAGCCCAACTACCCACCTGACCTCTCCTCACCCTATAAAACCCTGCTTCCCCCTAACAACGTGCGCGACTCCACCGACCCCCGCCTTGGGTCTGTGAGGTCCGCCCGGGGCGCAATAAACTTTCCCTCCCTTTGAGAAATGTAGCCTGGCTCTCCTTTTCTTTACCGCGCCGAACCTTTCAATATGGTAAATAATCAGGCCATTCGAGTCTGCATGGTGAAAAAGAAACAGGACGCAACCTTTCATTATATCCATAACCATTATCATATATGAGGCCCAAGTCGGTGCTTAGAAAAACATGGGAGGAAATACACTGAAACCTTGACTGGTAGGTTTTTGGCTTCAGGAGGAGAGTGAGCCTCCCTAGGATGAGTTGGGTTTTCTTAACCTCTTTACAGTTTTTTTTTTCTCTCACTTTTGTTTAAATGAGAAAATGCAGATGTACACGTGTGGGTCCCTGTGGGGGTCTAACCCTCTGTCATTTGTAAGTCAGCTCCCAGGACCATCCACACCAGCGCGGGCCTGGCAGGATCGAAGGGTGACGCTGTCCTCTCTTGACCCAGCTGCAAAGCAGCCGGGAGGCAGGACGGCCTAGTGTCTCGGGATATAGCTCTGGAGGAGCATGATTCTAATTCCTCCTCAAATCAGGGCCTACTCACTATGCGACCCTGGGCACACGATCCCGCTCTTGGGCTCTCAGTTTCATCTGTAAAAATGGATCATGCGAGTATCTTGCCTTAGGTTTGTCAGCAGAGCCAAGGACTTAGGTTTATAGAGGCCTCCGTGCAGTGCCCAGTCCCGAGGGCACTCCCATTGGCCTGAGGGAGGAGTGGATCCGAAGATGACTTGACCTGAGGTCTCTGGGCCCCTGGGACTGAGGTACAGGAGCAGCATCTTGGAAGAAAATGCTGAGACTGTTCTCCATATGGGGGAACTGAGACCAGGGCACAGGCAGAGAGCTAGAGACACTCACTCTTGAGCCCCAGGCACTGTGGGTGCTGTGTGACCCACGACAAATGGCTTCCCTTCTCTGCGCTTCACTTTCTCATCTATCAAATGGGACGCAGCAGAGGGAGATCAAAATGGATTTGGCCATCCTTCAACTTATCTAGTCTGAATGTGAGGGAGTGTGCTGAGTGCCACACCCCGCCCCCCCACATCATGGCCAAGGGCACAGATCAGACTGTAGGGAGCTGGGTAACACAGACCCCCACCTCCTGGCACCTCAGACACCGCATCTGTGCACTGGACATGGAGAGCAGCTCCCTGGCAGGGCTACTGTGTGGACTTGATGAGTCAGTGCAGTGGGCTGCTGGGGAGCTACCACCGAAACACAAGGGCCTGCAGCCATACCTTGCAACTGCTGCAAAAACAAAGCTCTCTGCAGTGCTGAGCCGCTGAGCAGGGAGGCCGAGTTGATGCCCTGGAGATTCAGAAGCTGTTGCTGAGGCAGCTGCTGGAGAAGCCCCCTGTGTGTTGGGAGGGGGTGTCAGAAGGTTATTGGGAAAGTCAGGCCTTCTCTCCTCCCTGAGACCTTTCACCTCCCCTCTTAGCCCTCTCTACAGCAGAGAAAAGATCCCCTTGGGCTAGGAACTGATGGGTTCCTGGGGTGCCCCTGGGATGCCGGCCAGTTTGGATGGACTGGACCGGGCATGTATGACATGGGCAGGAGCCAGCCACCCCTCCAGGGGGGAACTCACCGGCTCACGGCCATGGGCAGGGAGGCCTGGGGTGGGGGCTGCTGGAGCAGCTGGAGCTGCAGCAATTGCTGTTGCTGCTGTTGCAGCTGCTGAAGCTGCTGCTGTTGCAGCTGCTGCAACTGCTGCTGCTGGTTGAACATGGCGGCTGGGAGGAGAGCAGAAGGACAGGGTCCCCATCAGAGGCCAACCCAGCTCCCCGCCCCTCCAGGGCCACCACCACCAGCCCGCCGTCTCCCACCCGCTGCTGCCCACTGAGCACGGCGGCTGCGCGCCCAGTCCTGCCGGAGCACCGGCGCCTGTCCCTTTCACCACACCCCACTTCTGCCGGCAGAGCAGGACTCCACGGCCCTCCGCCTCCTGCCGACGGCCCCTCCTTCCAAAGTCCAGCTTCACCTTCCCTCTCTCCCGCTCGCAGGCCCGGTTCCTCCAGGCCCGGAGCCCAGCTCAGATCCATCTCCCGCCCCAGCCTTCTCCGCGCCAGTCGCCGCCCGACGCAGCCCCGCCTCGCTCGCGCCCCGCTTTGATGCCCCTACCCCGCCCCGGTCTGTTTCGTGTGATACACGGGCACACGCACCCCGCCTTTCCCGCCCACCTGTCCACTGGCACCTGAAGCCGCGGCACCCCCCAGCCCCCAGCCCCCACCCCCAGCCCCACCCCCCACCCCAGGCCCCCACCCCCGGCCCCACCCCCCACTCCGCGGACCCTGCAGCTGCAGACGCGGCCGACACCCCCGACACCCCCGTCGGGTCGGCAGCCCCACCTGCCCGCCGAGCCCGCAGCCTCCACTCGAGGGGCCCCTCCGCCTTCAGCCGGTCCCCGCGGCGATCCCCGGCCCGGCCCCGGCCTCCGGGCGCGGCGTTGGCGCGGGAACGGCTCCGCGGCCTCCCCGCGCCCCTCGGCGGTCGCGGGTCCCCACGGGCTGGGCGGGCCGCGCGCGAGGCACGCGCGGGCCGGGCGGCTCCGGCTCGCGGCTCCGGGGCTCGCCGCGCTCCTCGGGGCCTGCGGACACGGCCGGGCGGGCGGCAGCGCCCCCTGCAGGAGCGGAGGCCCCGCGGCCGCGCGGGTCACGCAGGGGGCGGCGCCCGCTCACCCCGCGCGGGGCCGCCGCGGACGCGGCTCGGGGCTGCGAGGGGCCCGGGGGGCGCCGGCCCCCGCCCCGCGTCCTCGGCGCCTGGAAGCCGCGGCTCTGAGCCCGGCCGGCCGTCGCCCCGGGGCACCCGTCCTCTGGCGGGGCCGTCCGGGCGACTCCGCACAGGCCGCGCCAACCGACCTCCCGCGGCCCGGGCCCGCGCGGACGCGCCTTCGGGGCGGGCGCCCTGGGGGACGCCCGCTCTCCCCGCCGGCCGAGCCGAAGCACCGGCCTTAGCAGGGCCGGGCCCCGCTCGGCGCTTTCCCCGGAGCTGGCCGGGGAGGGGCGAGCGCTGGGCCCGTTACCAAACGCGGCGCTCGTCGGCCCCTGAGCCCGCCCGGCGCGGGAGGACCCTTCGTGACGGCCCTGCCCCAGCCCCGCGCCCCGCTCCTCGGCCCGCCCGAAATCACCGTGACAGTCTGGTCCCCGCCACCCCTCCCTTCCCTGCTGCTCGGCCTGCCCCGCGCGTCCCCTCCGCGTTCCGCGCGCCTGGGCGAGGCGGGGCGCGCGCTCGGGCGCAGGACGCGCAGCCCCGCGGGCCGAGGGCCGTCGGCGCCGAGACGCTGCAGCCCGGTGGCAGGCCGGGCCCCGGCCCCGGCCCCGCCGGCTCCGCGCAGCCCGGGCGGCGGCGGGGGGCCCGGGGCCAGGATGTCGGGCCTTTGGGCGGAAAGGCGATCTGGCGACAGAGACTTTGACGGCGACTGGAGGAGACGGGCTTTATCCCCAAGGGCGGGCTTTATCCCCAAGGGCGAGGAGCCTAAAGAAGGGTTTGACATCCGCGAATTAGACACCCCCTCCCATGGGTTGAGAAGGTGATATCACATGAGCCTTAGCGCAGGCACCAGGCATGGAACAAGCTCAGCAAACTGTCAGAGTAAAAACAAAAAATGAAAGAAATGGCCTCCCTGGTGGCGCAAGGGGTTAAGAAGCAACCTATGAAGCTGTCCACAGCCACTGCAGCACGAGTTCGATCCCCAGCCAGGGAGCTACCCACATGGCACAGCAGACCTCTCCTGTCTCCCCACTGCTCCCCTCAGCAGTGTATTTCAGTCCACCTGCCTGTTCTGTTCCCCACTCTGTCTCTGGTGGATCCTCTCACAACCCGCACCTCTGGCCTCTACCCCAGCTCTTGTATGCATCAATAAATCTTTTTTAAAAAAATAAAAAACAAAAACGAAAGAAATCAGGGCCTCCCTAGTGGCGTGGGGCTTAAGTCTTAATGCTATCAAACTATCCACAGTCACTGTGGCCTGAGTTCCATCCCAGCCTGGAAGCTGACCCCGTGGTGCAGCGGACTTCTGTCTCCTGGCTGCTCATCTGAGCAGTGAATTTCAGTAGATCCGCCTGTTCTGCTCTCCACTGTCTCTGCTGAATCCTCTCACCCCTGCACCTCTGGCCTACACCCCAGTACTTGTATGTGCATAAATAAATCATTAAAAAAAAAAAGAAAGAAATCACTAAAAATAATGCTCATGGTGGTTTCCAGGGCTGGTTCATCTTTCTGGAAAGCAAATGATAAGTTCATTGTTTAAACTCTCTAATGTGTTCTGTCCTTTGACCTGGTGACCCCAGTTGTATAGGAATCTAGCCCAAGAAAATAATCAGAAACAAGACAAAAGCCCTCAGAAACATTATGTATAATTGCTGCTGGAAAATGATCAACTTTTAGGAAACATCTAAATAAATTAAGGTGTCTGCCTCTTAAGGAGCAGCACACAGCCCTCAGAGATTATTTTTTCTTTTTTTCAAAGATCTATTCATCTATGCATACAAGAGCTGGGGCACAGGCCAGAGACGGGGGGTGGTGAGAGGACCCACCAGAAACAGAGTGGGGAGTAGAACAGGCAGATATACTGAAATACACTGCTGAGGGGAGCAGCGGGCGAGACAGGAGAGGTCTGCTTCACCATGTGGGTTGTTCCCTGGCCAGCTGGGGACTGAACCCGCACTGCAGAGGCTGTGGACCACCCCACAGTGCAGTGCTCAACCCCCTGCACCACCGGGGAGGCCCTGGAGATTATTTTTTCAAAAGATATTTAAACACAATATGATGTGAGCTCAGCAGGTAACAAAATTGCACACACCTTAAGATCTCAACTTTGAAAGCATAAGTATATGTGTGTAGAGGCTGATAAGGGATTTTCACTTTCTCTCCTTTTATCTCATTAGCTGTGATTGGTTTGGATGACTTTATCCTAGGGAGGGGGTGACCATTTTCATTATTTTAATGTATATGACCTTGCACTGCCTCCCTGACGGCCAAGCAAGTAGATGGGAGCACTGGGCCTACAACCACGTTAATGGCTTTCAACCAATCCCTTGCAGGCAGCGTCCCTTAATGGGGTACATTCAGAGGAAGAAGAGGGGCCCCATACAAAGCAGTGGGGACAGAGCTCAGGGTGAGTCCAGATAATCTGGGTTTCCCACCAGGTCCAAGCGCGCCGCCCCCTGATCTGAAACTAGCACTGGAGGAGCCCAGGATTGAACTGGAGGTTCACCGGCCTCTGACTTGGTGACCCTGGCCAAAGAGGGAATCATCTCCATGCATCCCAAGTGACGTGTAAGACTGTCACATGACCTGGAGGCCTCTTTCTTGCCTCTGAGCCAAGATGCACTTCTTTTTCCTTTCCTTTTTTTCTTGAGATATACTTGCATCATGAAATAAACTCATACTCAGGTGAATCTGTCCAGACCTGTTCTGCTCCGGGAATCTACCTGTCCATGATATCACATAATGGGATTATGATAGTTTGGAATATATTTTAATAATGATAGTACAAGCCCCTGACATTGTCATGCTTTATTAAAAAATTCTTGCTGATCCCCAATCATGTCATTTTTTCCACATAGAATATAGTATGGTTCAAGGTAAAAATCAAAATCAACAAGCAACTATAAACCAGAGACACACGTCGGGAGGGAAGAGGCGGGGAGAGAAAGGACTAGGGTCAAAATAAGGGGGAGGGGTGCAATTGTATGGGGAATATAACCAAAGTGAAAATGCATACATTGTGCAAAAATGAAAAATGATGTAAGAATTATATAAAATAAAATATTAATTAAAACAAAGAAATTTTAAAAAAAGAATATAGTATGGTTTTTGGGCCTCCCTGGAGGAACAGCGGGTTGAGCGCTGTGCTGTGAAGCTGTCCACAGCCTCTGCAGCATGGATTCGATCCCTGGCTGGCCAGGGAGAAACCCACATGGCGCGGCAGACCTCTCCTGCCTCGCCTGCTGCTCCCCTCAGCAGTGTCTTCAGTCTGTCTGCCTGTTCTGCTCCCCGCTCTCTCTGGTGAATTCTCTCACCCTCCCGCAACTCTGACTTGTAACCCAGTTCTTGTATAAATAAATTAATTAAAATTAAAAAAGAAGTTAATATTTTAACAACAAATGTTGGTGAGGGTATGGAGAAAAAGGAACTCTCCTGCACTGTTGGTGGGAGTGCAAACTGGTCCAACCACTGTGGAGAGCTGTGTGGAGATTTCTGGACCTACTAAACATAGAGCTTCCATAGGATCCAGCAATTCCACTCCTAGGTATTTACCCAAAGGACACAGAAACATCAACTCCAAAGAGCACCTGCACCCCTATGTTTATAGCAGCACTGTTTACAATAGCTAAGCTTTGGAAACAACCCAAATGCCCAAAAATAGATGACTGGATCAAGAAGATGTGGTACATATACACCATGGAATATTACTCAGCATTCAAAAAAGATAAACACATGCAATTTGCAGCAACATGGATGGCGCTGGAAGGGATCGTGCTCAGCGAAATAAGCCAGAAAGAAAAAGAAAAATACCGGATGGTCTCACTCATAGCAGGAATCTAGAAAACTTAAATAAGGGACCAGGAAAATGAATAACTATAAGAAAGTGAAAATCAAAATCAACAAAAAACTATGAACCAGAGACACTTTTTGGGGGGTGGGGGCGGGAGGGGAGGGATTGGGGTCAGAATGGGGGGGTTGCCATTGTATGGGGAATATAAAAATAAAATTTATTATTTAAAAAAAAGTTAATATTTAAAAAAAAAGAATATAGTATGGTTTTGTCAAACCATCTCCCTCCCTGTCCCCACCAATCCTATCAGAACTTTGACTGGTGTTGCATTAAATGTATTTAAGTAGGAGAAAACCTGACATCTTTACCCCCAGCTTTTCAGTTTAAGAATGAGACAGTGTTTCCATGAATTCAGCCTCAACTTTGTATCACAGTGTGGCAGGTTCCTACTATGGTGATGACGGTTATTTCCCCAGGACACTTTGTAACCAGCTATTCCATCTGCCCTGGAAAATGCTCCATGCCAATGATGGCAGAAAGCTCAGCTGACCCTGCGGCGCTCAGGGCCCTTTACCTGTGGTCGCCTGGGGAAGGTCACTAAGTGAGCACATGAAGGAAAGAATGAATACTCCAATGCAGGTTCCTCCCTCCTGCCTTGGGATGGTGTTCATTGTAGCGGCTTTTCCCTCCTTGACATCTATGTTCATCACCCCACGGAGGCAAGTCCCAGCACAGGACACCCACACAGACAATAGAGCAGATCACCGCCCTACACTCCTGGGAGCAAGCTGTGCTCAGCGACAGCACAGCGCCACGTCGGACAAGAGGGAGAGGGTAATATAAGACATTATGCTTAGGGCCTTCCTGGTGGCGCAGAAGGTTAGGGCGCAACCTATGAAGTTGTCCGCAGCCTCTGCAGCGCGGGTTCAATTCCTGGCCAGCCAGGGAGCAGTCTACATGGCACGACTGACCTCTCTTCACTCGCCCGCTGTTCCCCTCAGCAGAGAACTTGGGTCGATCTGCCTGTTCTGATCCCTGCTCTGTCTCTAGTGAATCCTCTCACCCCCACACCTCTGACCTGTACTCCAGCTCTTGTATGCATAAATAAATAAATTTTTTTTTTTAAAGATCTTATGCTTATCTTAAGGCTGCCTAGTAGCTGTCACCACCGGTGCCTTAACCTCTACAGAGATGGGGAGTGGCAGGCTGGGCACAGTCCTTTTGCTTCCCCTATTATCCTGGGACTCAGGGCATGACCCCTCCCCACTCAGAACTTTAGTTTGGCCATCTCTGCTGGACAGGACTGACTTGTGGTAACAGATTCCCCTTGTCCACTTAGCATGCCCAGCCACAGTGGCTGCCTTCTGTACTGTCCTCAAAGGAACCAGACTGCCTTCACAGTGCTTCCCTTGTCCTCTTTGCTCCTCACCAACCCAACTGCTGTCCAGGCTTCCCAGCTCAATCTAAACACCACCTCCTCAGGGAGGCCTTCCTTGATTGCCAGTTATACCCTGAAAGCCCTCTGCCCTTGTGGGGAATTGAGCAGGGGGAGGAATTGAGCAATCTGTGGTCCACTGAGCCAAAATGAGCTATCCAGGGACAGAGCTCGCCCCAGTCCAGGCCTCTGCACCCAGCTCTATCGCTCTCCCCACAAACACCAGCACAGTTACAATCCTTTATCCTTCCCATCAAAAGGTGACACGAGACTGAAGATGTTTGTTCAGCTAGGACAATGGTGATGGTGATCATAATTACACTAATCATAGCTCTCATTACTCCCTGTTGCAGCTACTCCTTTCATGGGTCACTGACTTGTCATCACATCACGGACTCCCCACACGATCCTATGCGTTGCGCAAAAATGATTTTCCCCCTTTTACTGATGGAGAAACTGAGGGTCAGGGAGGTGACATGATTTGCCCAAGGTCATGGGGTTAGAAACTGGTGGTCAGAAGTGGGATTTGAAAACCCCAAGTGCAGGTGCTGGGCCCTTGACCCTCACCACCTAACAGCACACAAGGGCACTTGCCCTATTGTGGGTTCACAATGGGGCCGTGTAAGCACAGATGCCTGGATCCTCAGCACACAGAAGTCCCTGGGAGATCTTGGTGCCTGCACCCTAGTCCCTCAGAGGAGGGCACTACCTGCTTCCTCAGCAATGACCTTGCCCCAGACCAGGCCAGGTGCCATTGCCTGGTGCACCTGATCTGCTTAGCCTTCTCCCCCTCCCCCCACCCTGAATCCACATGCTAGGAGGAAAAGCCCCAAATCTTATCAACCTCTTCCTCCCCCTATGTCTCACTCGAGGTCTGGCATTAAGTAGCCACTGACCAATATACCTGTTGAAGAATGAACGAATGAACAAATGAACGAATGAATGAATCCAAAGGGTCAGACCCTGGGAACAGGCACATTCCCATAAGCTCTGTGTGCTTCAGTTTCCTCATCTGTCAAAGGTGGGGGGTGTGGAGGGGGTGTGTGTGGGGGCGGGGGGGGGGGTAACAAAAACTCCCTGCAGAGGGTACAATCTCTCAGCACAATAACCTGGCAATGAATGTTTCTGTTGTTAATCGGCCCGGCACAGCTGGTCATTGAAGCTTTGGGAGCTGTGGAGAGAATGCTCCTCCTTTGGTGTTCAAGGTTGACAGCAAAGTCATTTATCTTTAAGGCTCTCATTGACTTCATTGATTCTCAGGGCCCCCAGCTTCTCGGTATCTGGGGAGATCCATCTGCAGCGGCCCGGGATCGGTCCTCTCTAAGCCTTGGGGGAAACTGAGGCCAGGGTAGATGTCGTCTTCATTTCCTTTCTGATTCCATGCCGATGTTTATGTGGCTTCTTTTGCCCAGAAGATCAGCCCTTCTGCATACACCCCAGAGGCATTTTACTCATCCATTCCTCAAGAAAGCACAGGCACTTTCAGCAGATTAGGGGAGAAAACCAAGGCACTGCCACACAGTGGACAACTATACAGCTGTCAACAAGAACATGCCCGATCAGTCTTCTCTCGTAGTGAGAGGCAAAGGCACACTATCACTGAGGAGGTGAGGGATATACACCAGAGCTTCTCCAACTTTGATGCTCAGGGGACTCTCCTGGAACTTTCTTGTTCAACATAGGTTGTGATCCAGCAGGTCTTGAGTGGGACCTGAGAATCTGCATTTCCAAAATCCCCAGGTGATACTCAGGCTGCTGGCCTGGCATTAGAGATACAGTAGGACAAGATACACAGCCCCTTCCTGTAAAGGTAAAATAAAACAAAATGAATACATATAGAAAGACAAGTCAGAGGCTAGCTCTTGACTATTTCTGGGTGGGAAGATAGCCACAAACTTTCAAATACTTGTGTAAAGTCTGATTTTCATAATCTGTTTCCCTAGGGTAATTAGGGAGTGATGGTGCCCTTCTGGGCAGATGTTTGTAACCTGCACCCCTTCCCCAATTTAATGGCTGCACTCAAGGTTCCCTTCTCCACCCATGCTGGTTCTGGGCACCAGAAGGGCTCATTGGGAGCCGCGCTCAGGATGTGCGACTTACGTCGCTGAGGCTCCAGTGTCCTGGGGTGGCTGTCATTATCAGACTCCTCACAGTTGTGGCCTCCTGAGCACCAGGCCAGGACCAGCCTCCCACAGGCACTCCAATTTACCTTTATCCCCATTATCCAGAATAGGTAACTGAGGCTCAGAGCCGTGGAGGGATCTGGCCAGGCTCCTGGGGGAAGGACCTCCTTAATTTCCTCTGCCTGACTGGCAAATTCCTCCCCTAGATGTTCCCATGGGGGGCTCCTTCGCTTCCCTCAGTTCTCTGCTCCAATTTCTTTCCTTTTTTTAAAGATTTATTTATTTGTTTGTTTGTTTGTTTATACAAGCACTGGGTACAGTCAGAGGCGCAGGAGGGTGAGAGAATTCACCAGAGCCAGAGCGGGGAGCAGAGCAGGCAGAAGGACCGAAGTACACTGCTGAGGGGAGCAGCGGGCGGCAGGAGAGTTCTGCGCGCCATGTGGGACCCTCCTCCGGTGGCCGGGGAGCAGCCGGGGATTGAACTGGCGCTGCAGAGGCTGCGGGCAGCTTCGCAAACCAGCGCTCAACCGCTGCGCCACCAGGGAGGCTCCTCTGCTCCAATTTCTACCTTACCAGATTCCTTCTCTGACCACAGTCCCTGGATCAGGAGGTCAAGGTCCTCCTCAACATCAGAAGGGTCATTGACTTGAGTCTCATCTGTCTTTTTTCCACTAAACATGTGGGTAAGGACTTTGTCCATTTTTCTCGCTGCCTTATCTCTGGGGCTTGGTGAGCACCTGGCTTGGAGCATTAGCTGGGTGAGTGAATAACAGTCTCCAAGGCCACTCTCACAGACCACTGCTTTCCTAGCCGTGTCCCCACACAGGGAACTGACCCTTGACCCCTAAAAGCAAAGGGCAAGCTGGCCTCCCTTTCCTCGTCTCCTTGCGAAGAATCCAGATTAGCTTCCTTAAATGCAGAGGTGGGTGGGGCCCCATGGTCTCTGTGTGAAGGGGATAAACATAGTGCAGGAGTCCTGGGTTTGAACCCCACCGGCTTACCGCCATCCTGATGGTTGAGGCAAGATTTATTTATTTATGCACACAATAGCTAAGGTGTAGGCCAGAAAGATAGGGGAGTAGAACAGGCAAAAGTATTGAAATACACTGCTGAGGGGAGCAGCAGGGAGACAGGAGAGGTCTGCTGTGCCATGTGGGTAGCTCCCTGGCTGGAGATTGAACTCTTGCTGCAGTGGCTGCAGATAGCTTCATAGTGCTGAGACTTGCGCCACCAGAGAGGCCCAGTGACTGCCACTTTTTAGGACAGGAAGTCCCCACTCTCCCAAGCAGGGTTTTCCAGGCATCAGGATCTTTGCCCTTGCTATTCACTGGGCCTGGCATGATCTACCAGATTTATCTGTGGCTGCCGCGGGCTCTTCTTAAATGTTGACTCTTTAGAGAAACTCTGTGATTCCTCCCAGGCTAAAGTGGACTTTTTGCACCCACACAGTTACCTTTCCACACCTGCTTCTTCCTCCATTGCTCTCAGTATAAACTATTTTTTGCTTTTACTATTTATTTATAATTTCTTCATTTACTTCATTTACTATTTATTTATAGTTTCTTCATTTACAGGCATCTCCCATGCCTGAATATAAGATCTATGAGGGTAAAGTTTTGCCGGTCTTGTTTATTGCTGTATGGCCAGGGCTTAGAGCAGGGCCTAACTTACAGTGGGGGAGCAGTAAATGTTTGCTGAATTAAGATTCCTTCTCTTGCTAGAAATAGGGAAAATGAGGCCCAAAGGCGGGAAGGGACAGAAGGCCGGAGATGACCTGGTACCATAATCTAGAGCAGAAGGCAGGGAGGACAAACAGAGCTCCAGGAGGAGACTGTGACCTTGGAGGAGGGTGGTCTTTTCAAGCCTCAGTTTCCCTGTCCGCAAGATGGAGTGAAGCGGCCGTGATCACTATCCAAGAGACCCGGTACTAGGGATGAGACTCCCCCATGCCCAGGCATGAGCATCTTCGGTGCCTCATCCGTGCCCCCCAGACACCACTCTAGCGCCCCAAAAGCCGCAGAAGGAGAAAACTACAAGCCCCATGGTGCTCCGAGGGGCGCGTGCGCAGTGGGGCCCTCCCGCAGTGCCGCGGGCGCCCTCTGGCGGCGCCCCACGCCGCGCGCCGCGCGGATCCCGGAGGGGCGGGGGCCGGCGGCGCAGCAGTCGGAGCGCGCGGCTGCAGCGGCGGAGCCGGAGCCCGAGCCGGAGCCGCAGCCGGAGCGGGAGCGGCGGCCGGATCGCAGCCCGCGGGGCCCGCCGCAGCCATGGGCAACCGCGGCATGGAGGACCTCATCCCGCTGGTCAACCGGCTGCAGGACGCCTTCTCTGCCATCGGCCAGAACGCGGACCTCGACCTGCCGCAGATCGCCGTGGTGGGCGGCCAGAGCGCGGGCAAGAGCTCGGTGCTCGAGAATTTCGTGGGCAGGTAGGAGCGGCGCGCCCCGGGGCGCGGACTCCCGCGCCGGGCCCCGGCCCCCGCCCCGACGGCGCCGCTCGCGCGGACGGCGCGCCCCCTCCTCCGGCCCGAGGGGGGCGGCCCGAGCCCGCGTCGAGCCCCGGGGGCGGCGGCGCCCCCCGCGCGTCCGCACACACAGTCTCGTCGCCCGCCGGCATCGCGCCCCCGTCTCCGCCCCGCGCGCTCGGGACCCGGCGCTGCGCCTGGAGACCCGGGCTCGGGGTCACCCCCCCGCGGGGGCACGAGGGGCTGCATTACTCAGCGCCTCCCTTCCCCGGATCCTCGGGCGGGCGCAGCCCGGGCGGCCCCCCGACCCTAGGCTTTGTGGGGGACGCGCCCTCCGGGCGCTCCCGGGCCGTGGCGGGGGTCGCGCCCCGCGCGCGCAGCCGGGAGAGGACGCGGCCCGCGGGCACCGGCACCAGCGCAGCCTCCCCCCGCCACACACCTCTGCGGCGCCCGCCGCCATCCGCGCAGCGCCGCGGGGGGAGGCGCGGGCGCGGGGGGAGGCGCGGGCGCGGGGAGGCGCGGGGGCGGGGGGCGGGGGCGCCGCCGGCCGGGTCCTCCCCGCAGCCGCCCCGGCTCCTTCGCCGCCCGGGTGGGGGGCGCCGGGTCGCGTCGCTCCCCCTTGGCCCGGCGGAGCGACTGTGATGGAGGCAGCAGGCGGAGGGCAGAGATGACTAAGACGGGGAGGCAGGACGGCGGGGAGGGGGAGCCATTTGCAGAACCTAATCCCCCTCCTGCCCCTGATCCCCCGGGCCCGGGACGGCCAGGTGGCGCGCGTGGGGCAGCCCCGACACCGAGGGGCCGGGGTGTGGAGGGGCCGGCGGGGCCGTGACCGCCCGCAGAGATGGCTTTGGGGTGCTGGGAAGGCGAGCGAGAGGATGGCGCTTTCAGGCGCTGAGGCGGGTGGGGGCTGGGCAGACTGGGGGAGCAGGAGAATGACACTGACCTCCCCACCCCGCCACCCTCCCCACCTCTTCAGACACCCCAGCTTTCTCCCGCTGACCTTCAGGGCTGAGGCAGCCCTGGCTTGGGGTGGGGGCGGGGGAGGGCCAGCAGGGCCGGGGAGGCGTCTTGGGACCAGGCCGGTTCTGTGGTGAACCCTGGGGCAAGTCGCTTGCCCCCTCCGAGCCTCACTCTCCCCTGTCTAGGGGGACAGTTGGGCTGGCTGGTTGTTGCCGCCCCTCCCGCAGCTCGGAAGCCCAGTGCCAGCCCCGCTGCGGAGAGGGAGGGGTCCTGCCTGGAGCTCTGTGTCTGGGGGATGTAGGAAAGCCACAGTGGGGGCGGCCGGGCCCATCTGGTCAGCAGAGGGGGAGGCCGTCTGTCCCTCGGGGACGGGGATGGCTCTGCAGAGCCCGGCGCCTGCTCACGTGACCCCCAGAGCTACAGAGACACACAGATGGGCCCCTTCCCCAGGGCAGGGCAGTCAGGGTGAGGGGTGGGGACCCTGGAGGCAATGACGCCCCCAGGTCTCAGGCTCGAGGTGGCATTGGGCGTCACTCAGAGGCGTCTGGCTCTTTACAGGCACAGGGCCTCCTCCTGGCTTTCGTCCCTCTCAGCGCCAGGCTGTGTGCTCTGGGCAGGGGGTGCAGAAGCGAAGGCACCTCAGCCCCCATCCACTGCGCCCCTCCCGCGTGTCCTCACCACACTTCCCCACGGCCCCCCGAGGCAGGTGCCCGCGTGTCCTTCCTGCAGATGGGACGCTGAGACCCCAGGCTGCAGGCTACCCCAAGGTCACGCAGCTGGGAAGGATGGTGCTTCTAGAAGCATCCGAAGGGACACGCAGGTGGCGGGTGGGGGTCCGTGTCGGCCGGTGGGCCCGGAGCACTGGCAGCTGCCGCCGCCCTTCCCGGGAGGTGGTGTGGGGCTCCTGAGTTCCTGGTGCACCAGACCTTTGTGAACACGTGGGAGGGAGGCGCTGATGTCCGCTAGGCTGGGGGCCTGTGTGCGCCAGGACAGGCCTGGCTCCTGCCCTCTTGGAGTTCGCGGTCCAGCAGAGGGCGGAGTCCGCGGCCCTGCAGGCCAGCCCCGCGAAGGTGACTCGGGTGTCCGTTTGCTTGTCAAGTGATGGAGCAAGGTGTGGACTCTGCCCCAGGAGCCCGGGCCCCCTCGCCGCCCTCCGCCTCCCAGTGCCCCTTGGCGGGGTGTCCCCAGGAGGCAGGCAGAGGAGTGTGGGCCCCAGGGGAGCGCTGAGCGGGCGAGCACTGTCAGTCCTCATGAAAGCCAGTGAGCGAGTCAGCGTTGGTGTGCAGGCGGGAAACAGGTTCAGGGGCCCCCCGCCAGCCCCGCCTGCTCCCTCATGGGCTCCCAACCTCTCTGCCCAGGGCCAGGTCCCCAGACCCGTGGGCATGGTAACAGTTGTCTCCTGGGGCTTCCCGGGAGTGAACCCCCCGGAGAGAGGAAGTGGAAAATGCATCTGAGGAAGCAGTGTCTGTTCCCGGCCAGACAGGACTTCTGAGCACCTGGGGCACCGATGTCAGCTCCGCGGTGGCGGTGGCCCCGCCGCTGCTGGGACTTGTCTGGGTCCTCGCTGTTTCTCCATCCCCCTTTTACAGAAGGGGCGACCGAGGCCGGTTCATCCACTCCACAGCCAGTCGCGGAGAAGGGCCACGGTGCCCCCGCACTGGGCAGACGAGGGTAGAAAAGACAAAGGCTTTGCCTTCCTGAGGGGGGGCGCTGAGGTACTAAACACAGGTCCAGAGGGGGCATGAAGACTAGTGGCGAATGTGGTGGGTGCCGGGGGGTCTTTTCAGAGGGAGGCCGGAGAAGGGGTGGCATCTGAGAGAAATGAAGGAAGAGAGGGCACGTGACCTGCCTGGGGGCCGCTTTCTAGGCAGAAGAAACGCCCCTGCAAAGGCCCTGGGGCAGGACAGAGCTGGCGCCCGCTACGGCTGGTGTGTGGTGGGAAGGGGACCTGGCAACAGAGAGCCAGGCCCAGGCCAGGTCTGCGAGGCCCTCAGACTAGGGGGGCAGTTTGGGTTTGTTTTCATCATTGGCAGAAGCTTTCACAAGGGGAGTGTCTTGAGCTGATTGCTGGGGCCTGTGCCCCGGGGGCTGTGGTGGCGGGAGGTGGTGGGGTCTGGGCTGGGCTTCAGCAGTAGCCAGGAGGAGAAGGTGGGGTCCAGGACAGATTTGGGAGGCTGTTTCCCCAGAAGTGCTGGTGGATGGGTGTGGAAGTGAGGGAAGGGGACCCGGGAGGATGTCACATCTTTGACCCCGGGTGGGTGTTGGCGTCCGTGAGCAGAGTGGGGGTGCAGGCTGGGTGGCAGGTCAGGCGTCTGAGCCTCTTTCTTTTTTTTTAAAAGATTTATTTATTTATGCATACAAGAGTTGGGCACAGGCCAGAGATGTGGGGGCTGAGAGGACCCACCAGAGACAGAGTGGGGAACAGAACAGACGGATTGACTGAAACACACTGCTGAGGGGAGCCGCGGGCGAGACAGGAGAGGTCTGCTGTGCCATGTGGTTTCTCCCTGGCTCGCCAGAGATGGAACTCGTGCTGCAGAGGCTGCGGATTGCTTCATAGTGTGGTGTTTAATCCCTTGCACCACCAGGGAGGCCCCTGAGCCTCTTGCATCTTGGGGGCTCAGACGGGCAGGTAGCAGCCAGAGTCAGGTAGCAGCTGGAAAGGCCGGCTGGAAAGATGAATCTGGAAGTCGTGTCTGTGTAGGGGTGAGGCTTACACCCATGAGAGTAGATGAGCTCATCTTGGGGGTAAGTGCAAATAGCAGCTGTGTGGGCCCCAGGATACCCCAGCATCTCGAGAGCAGGTGCCTGGTGCCCTCCCTGCAACATGCCTTGGGGTGTCCTCGGTCAGGCTTCCAGGCCCCACCTCCCTGGCCAGCTGGCTGAGAAACGCACAGTGCCCACCCTTCCTCCCTCTTGGCCCCGGGGAGGCCAAGGGCAATAGGAATGTGGCAGAGGGGCTGGGAACTCGGCCCCTAGAATGAGATCTGGGTTGTCTTGACCTTGGGCCTGTTCCTTAACCTGCTCTGCCCTTTCCTCCTCGTAAAATGGGGGTAGTAACAGCACCTCCCTGTGGGGTTGTGGTGAGCGTGGAGCAGATGCCCTCTGTGCCCAGGGCTGGCAGAGAGGACGTGACAGTTCCATACCTACTGGGACACTGACAGGCAAGCCCTTTGGGCCAGAGAAGCGGGGTGGGGTGGGGATGGAAGCAGGGGGTCCTCTCCATCCCGGGCAGGGGTGGGGCGGAGACCTGGCGAGTGAGCCCCTGCCCAGAGCCAGGGACAGTATGGAGTCAAAGTCTCGGGGTGGCTCAGCCTCCCCTCCTGCCTCGTCACCCCATTCTCATCCCAGTGTGGGCTTCGCGCTGGTCTCGCCTCGAGAGCCCCTCTCTTGGTCTGGTCCAGCCCCTCCGACGGGGGACACCCCGCCCTGCTAGTAAGCTCTGTCTCTTCCTCGGAACACATGGGGTCCCCTTAGTGGTCCCATGCCCCATAGTGGAGGCTGAATTCAAGGAGGATTGGGGGACAGTGGAGACACTCTGGGTAGAAAGTCTCTGGCCTGGAGGGGCAGAGGGAAGCGGCGCGGCCTTGGCACTTGCAGCGTGCCAGCCCCGGGCATACAGCTGTGCACAAGCCGGCCTTCCCTGCTCCCCGGGGCTCGCAGCTGGGCGGGACAGACAGACGCCAGACCACACAAAAGCTCACTTGTTGTGTTTGAAGAAGGGCATGAGGAGCCAGAAACTGAAGGGAGGGGAGTCGTGGGGTCCCCCGAGGAGGGGGCATTTACAACTGGACCTGAGCAAAGGGGACTTGGTGGGCAAGCGGGGGCCATGCCCCGGGGCGGGGGCCCACCTGCGCAGACCCAGGTCAGAGGGAGCTCAGCGGGCCTAAGAACCCGGAAGGGCAGACGGCTTGAGAGAGTGGCAGAGGCCATGGGAGACCCGGAAGGTGGGGGAGGCCACAGTCACGCCACCCACAGAGCCCCTGCCCCCATGTGGCTGTTGG